GAAAACGATCACTGAAAATAATCTTCAAGTACTCCATTTATTTCGCGTGCATTGTACAACAAATCAGACATACAAACATCCTAAATAGTAAATTTCTTTGTGCAGACATTTTGCCGTGCCTCGGATAAACGTAATAATTCTAATTACATTTGTATTTTCTATGATTTCTCTTTTTTCTGGTTGTCAAATCTATAAAATCTATAAAAAGTATTATAACTCGATTCTCGCAATAAGAAATGGCTTAAACGCTAATCCACTACTTTAACAAGTATTCTTGTTCATTATAAGCTTATTATCGAAATTGATCAAGCAAGTCCAACAACGTCGCTTTAGATAAAGAATTCCGTGTCAATATGTTATATCGTATATAGTTCGTTCTGCCAACTTAACCTTCAATAAGTTACCAAACTGTGTTCCCTGGCTAACGAGACGCATTTGTCTAGAGGTCCGTAAACTAAATCGGCCATAAGTTGTACGCCTCATCACAACGTCCATACATTCTCTTGTTTGATGTTAATCAACGTGTCTAAGTGCGGATTCCAAGTTTGAACAGTTCGTCCTTACCAAACTATGATAGGCGCGTGTCACAATCTAGCGAAATTCAATGAGGCTGATTAAAGAAATTAACTAGCTACTATACATCCATATTCGGAGGTCACAGAAACAAATGAATCCTAATTAATCTTACCCTAAACCTACTGGATATTACACAGGTACACACACACACACACACACACACATATATATATATATATATATATATATATATATATATATATATATATATATATATATATATATATATATATATATATATATATATATATATATAATAAAATCATTCTAGACAAATTTGTTGATTTAGACTCTTTATCTAGATGTTAAATATCCCAGGTGAAGTCAGTGGCGGAACTAGAAAAAAAGGGCCATCCTGCAAATAATTTTTTTGGGCCCCACATATATATATATATATATATATATATATATATATATATATATATATATATATATATATATATATATATATATATATATATATATATATATATATATATATATATATATATAAAATTAAAAATAGTTACTTTTTAAAAATTTAAAACGCGTCATTGTTGTGAGTGCTTATTAGTCTGTTTTGAAAATCTCTATTTTTATAAATTATATTTTTGCTATTATGCTTCCTGTCAGTGTTTCTTCCAGACTTTTCTCTCAGGGGGTGGGGGGGGGGGGGCTGGGGGGCACTTGAAATTTTCTGGGGGGGGGGGGCGAACACTGGTAAAAGTATATATTTTCTATATAAATTATATAAATTGCATTTCGTTGTAGGGGGGCGGTAAAATTTTTTTTGAGATGCCTGGAAGAAACTCTGCTTCCTGTAAGTAAGTCGGTCAAAAGAGTATGAAGCATAAAAGCTTTGTATGTACAATGGTTTCTCACGTTATGTTTATTTTCATGTTTTTTCGTATTTATATTATTAGTTTTAAATACATTTCCTGTTTATTCTTTGTCATTCTTTATTATGTATAATTTTTTAAAATAATAATTAAGAGAGGTAATTGCTTTTTAATTTGTTTAGTGCAAATCTATTAAAAGGTGCTTGAGAGCACATGTATTCGACTATTAAAAAAAGGGAAATAAGTCATGTAAGTGGTTTGAACGTTTGCGTATCTTTCACGCGATTCATTTGTTTTCAAAAGAATTCTACCGACAACAACGTGTGTTTGATTGTAGGAGAAAGAGGACTCGAGATGGTGTCTATAGAATAAAGATAATGAAACCACAGCTACAGTATTCTGTTTACAAAACAACCATCAAGTCAAAAATGCAAGAGTTTTTTTTAACTGTAAAAAATAACTGATTATGGTCGGCTGCGGGCCCCTAAACGGCCCGCCCCCCGCCCCCCCCCCCCCCCCCCGCATTGCGGGGTCTGGCGGCACTGTAGTTCCGCCCCTGGGTGAAGTGTGTCTGTCAAACATGTATAACGATTTTTCTAATTTAATAAACGTTAATAATCAAATTAAATTATATTTTTTTACCTAACGCTCATGTAGTCATATGTGCTTATTTTTATACACTGGGGTTTAATTTTAAGACAACAAAAGAAGCGGATTTATTTGTGTTCTTGTATATTTCTAATAAAACAAAGTTGTTTTTTTTACCTATATCAATAAAAACACGAATGTACCCATGACACACAAACTGTAGCCTATATCAAATGTTGACCCATTTAACGTAATATTTTTAAAAAGATATTGTATTTGACTTTTTTAAAAAAAAAACAGTTTTAACTGTAAGAGCTAAAGTGTGCTGTGGTCCCTTCAGTATTATCTTGTTCAAGCTACAAATTTTGATTTTTTTTTTGAAAACCTCGAGCCCATGATAAAGAAAAGCAGAATGTTCAATCTCCTGGCAGGGGACATGATGTGATCCGCACGTGACGCCATCTAGTGGGCGACACCAATATGAAAAACACTAACATTTACAGTCAATATAATCCTTTATCCGGTTAAACTTAAAATAAAATTGTATGGGAGAGGGATGACACCAAAATGAAAATGTAAAATTGTAAGAGGGCGGAGGGGAAACACCCTCAGTTACCACACCGAGTGTCACCCCGAACTAGTTTCGCCAGTGAATAAATCGAATTATCTTAATGTATGCAGACAACCCTAAGTTACAGAACAAACTTTACATTTTAAAGCACCGGTCCACTTATAGAGAACTGTAAAAACATTCGATGTCGTGTAATGTACTCTAATATATAAATTTTGCCAAGGCGGTGATAAAAAGTGAAAATTAATGACCAAGGACAGTCAGATTTACAACAAGAAGATACTACTCATACAAAAGTACATTATTACTCAAACAAAAGTTCATTACACTTCCGGGAAAGCTATTGAAACTGGCTGTAAAAAAGGCAAAATTTGAGTTAGAACATTAAACAATTTTTAATCCTGATTTGGTTGTCAGTATTTTGTTCTATCTCAAAAGTGAAAAATATTTATTTCGGGCTCCTATTGCTACATAAAGTCATAAAAATAGCTTTAATGCTTATTGTTTGATGCCCTTTAACATTTTATAAAAAAAGTACTTGAGTTAAACTATTTTTAAATGGTAAATCAGACCCCATGAAACTTGAGATGCGTTTTTCTCAAAACTACAATTTAGAAGATAGAACAAGATAATACTAGGGGGGGGGCGATCTGACTTTGGGGTACAAATTTGAGAAATCGTCCGTAAAAGACGTCATACATTCATAGTTGGTTAGGAATTTAGTGATCAATTTGTATTTCTTTCTAAGTTTTCAAGGTAAGGCCTAACTATTTTTAATCACTAGAATTGTAAATTAATTAGTATTTTTATATGTTTATCTAATCTATTTCTCTTTCTTAAATATTTAACTCTAGTATATTTATTAAAATCAAGTATTAGGTGTGTGAAAAGAAACAATTTATTAAATGGAATCAGCTCGATGTTCATTAAATTCATTTTTAAAATTTTTATTTTTTTAGAGAATCTTGCAACAGTTTATACAGCCAAACAAAAATTGGTCAGTTCAAGTCGAGCAGAAAATACTACGTGTAATGCTGCGGGAGCTGATAAAAGAATTAGAGTCTCCTGGAACATTTCCTACCCTTTTTCTTTTCTGTGGGTACAATTTAATAAAGAAAGTAAGTACAAAAATAATGATGAAAGTCGCTGAAATCAAGGACTACTTAAACCCCTTAATTTGACTTTTTGAAATTAGCCTTACTTTACTTATTTTAAATCAAGTATTGGTTTTGAAAATCTCACAAGAAAACACACTTTTTGCTTATAAATATTGTAAAATTACATAAACATTTTTTTTTCATTAATTTGGGAGAAAACGACTTTAAAAATAATAATTCTTGTGTACATCATATCTCCGACAATTTTCAATATACTTGTACTAAATTCTGCGCATACTTAACTGAATGCTAGAAGAACACATTGAACTAAAATAATAGCAGTATTTATTATAGATTTTTTAAAACAATTTTTTCCTGGACCCCACACTTGTCAATTTTCAGCCCGGTGACTAAAAATGTAAAAAAAAAAAAAAAATTTGAAATGCCAATTTTATTTTTTTAGTTCATTATATTTTTAAGGGAATAAATAATGTTGGTGCTAAGTTTTATTTGAATATCTTCGTTAGTTTTCGTTATACTCTGTACAAGTCAAAGTCTGTTTTTCATCAAATTTCAAGGCTTAATTTTTTTTAAATGAATGTATACAATACTTGAGAGCAAAAATTAGCTTTTCTTATGATTTCATCATCACCCTACATTATTTAAACTAGGTAAAGTAAGTGTAGTTACTAAAATTCAATTAGGGGGTTTAAGCTGTCCTCAAAGAAAGACAATCAATGGGTTTAACTTACAGAATTTATACTCAAAAATACCAATTTGGCAATGGACAATCGCCTTTAATAACTGAAGTTATAAAATAAACAAGTAATTGATCTAGGATTATAAAACGTTTGATTACTTTAATTCGGACAAAGAACGTCGGAGCTTCATTATAGGACGTAATTTACATTGTTACACTGACAAAAAAGCTAAAGAATAAATCAAGTGAAAAAATATTTTAGAATTGCATTCTTAATTTTAAATAGGTATTATTGTAAACATTTAATAACGCATAATGTATGATACCGTAAGCACCGCTTAGGGATCGTCCACATATCAAATACAATGGGGTGTGATCATAACTTATCGTTTCGTTACATTGCGATTAATGGTGTTTTGGTTGTAGTCATGGGCCTTCTTACACAATTAAAAAAAAAATTGAGATTTCCGAATTTCAAACATTATGTACCATGGCAATCTAATCAATCCTGTTTAAATCTTGTTTCAGCAAAATATCTGACGTCAAACCTAACGATCAACATCACTTACGGAAACTCTACATGTGACTCTATTTACCAATCAGCTATCAGCCATGACACGGTTGAGTTCAGATGTCGGACACCAGTAAATATGACAAGTCTAGTTTTGACAGGGGAAAATGTAAGGGATGTCTGCTCTATTTACGTCAATGGAGGTAATTATCAGTCTAGTAAGATTTTAATTGACCTTGTTGTATTTTATTAAAGTTATTAAATAAACATTATTTATCAAGTATTACCAAATTAATAAACAGACTTTAAAAAACAATCCAGGTAGGAATGTTGCAGTTCAACAACCTGCTGTTCAAGACAGTACGTATGGAATTTCTTCAAACGCTTCTAATGCTGTAGACGGTAACAGAACAAGTGATTGGTACCAGAAGTCGTGTATACATACCGACAAACAGATATCAAAAGGAACACCTCATTACTGGACAGTTAATTTCAGTGGTGAAGCATACAGTGTCAACAGATATGTTTTATACAGTAGGTGGGATTCAAAGACTTATCGTGAGTATTTTATTTTTATTTTACAGAAGCATTACCTGTATTAAATATATATATATATTTTTTTAAATCGTGTATTAATAAGTAATAGAACTTATTTTCATCCAATTATTTCATTTATTCATCTAATTATGTGTACATTATTAATGATGATAGTAGATTACATATCTATCTTTCGTCTAACTTTATATTAAATGAAGCGGGAGTGATCTCCCCTAAACTTTCTCGAAGATTATTATATATCTCTACGAGGGGGGGGGGGGGGCAACTAGGGATATATTCTTGATTTTTAATTCATTTTTACTTGAGAAAGTCTTGTAATCGTGCAAAAAAAAAATCGAGATTTTTACAAATCTCGACGTTTTACACCTCACTGAGTCGGAAAAACATATTTTAGCAATCTTGTCTGTAAGTCTGTGTGTATGTGTGTGTGTGTGTGCCTGTCTGTAAACACGATAACCTGAGTACCGTTACAACTAGGTTGATGAAATTTCATTAATAAGTATTTTATCAAACTCATAGATATGTTAGCAACTTTTGAGCGATTTCCGATAACCGGAAATGCTACTTTTTATACTTTGAATTTTTCAAAAGCCTATAACTTGAGTACTATTTCAGATAGATAAATGAACTTTCACATGTAAGTAAAAGATCTAATCCTCTACTATCAAATTTTGAGTAATTCCTGTTGAACCGATTTCTCAAAAAAAAAAACGCATATAAATTTATAAAGTACTAATAATATTCCGCACTATTATGCACATTTTGTTATGGCGTTCGCTTGGTGCGCAATTTTTTTTTTCTAAGAGATTCTATTCTATTTTAAAAGTTTAAGTAATTAAAAATCATTTCTATATTCCGAGTTGCCATGTGTATAATAGTGCGGAATATTAGTGCTTTATAAATTGGCGTATATGATGAAGTGAGATTTGAAATAGGTCAATAAACAATTGCTTAAGTGTTATAAATTAATTCATGACCGTTAGCTCAGTTTAAATTAAATGTCTGTAAGGGCGATATGTTTAAGATGTGTAACAAGCGGTAAGGGACAGGGTAATAAGAATGTGTCGAAAGATTGACCTTAAGAACTTGTTATTTGATCGCGGGCATTCCCCCCCCCCCCCACGTCAATACCTCCTAAAATCAATTACTCCCAACACATAACCTCTAGCATATAACCCCCATCCAACCAACTGAAAGAGGACATTACCCACAATCACCCACCTTTTATTTATATAAAGAGATAAAGTAATAATTTGTACATGTTTAGTAACGTGTACAGCTACAAGCGTAGCAAAGGTATAATTACAGGAATTAGAAAGGAAGAGGATATTGATGGGTAATGGAAATCGGATGGAAATATATACGGAAATCGATAGGGATAATGTTCTAGGAGATTAAATGGAATATGGATAGAAATACGGATACGGATGGGTTTAAAATAATGATAGTGATAAGGAGTAGAAAAGGGATAGCTTCAGGAATAGGTAACAGATAGAGATAGTGATAGGGAAAATGAAATGGAGTAGGAAATAGATCGGGAAATGAATACACATTAGGAAAAATGAACTGTAATAGGGAAAGAGATAGGGAGATATGGATAGCTATAGCTATAACAATAGAAATAAGATTAGTGATAGGGATAAGGGTTGAAGGAAATGTACAAGGACAGGGATTGGGATTGGGATTTTTTATGTTTCTATTTATAATTTTAAAAAAGCGACATCTTTTTCATCAAATATCCAGTTGTTTTCATTGTCATTAATATCTATAAATAGTATTTGCTTAATTTTTTGTTCGGTGATGGTAAAAAACGCTATGCGAATATTTTTATTCTACTGCAAAAAGAAATTAGCGATATCAATGAAACAGTCCCTTCCGGACCAATGGGACTTTTGCGTCCCTAGCAACAAATTTACTTGTTTTTCGAAACAAGAAAACCTATTAGAAACAACACATGTAAAAATAATACCTAAATAGTATACCTTTAAAAAACCTCCAATAATTTCTCTAATTTGAACTTAGTATTTCATATATAAAAATTTATATTTTTGCTTTGCCATTGATGTAAAAATGGAAAGTTTCTATAAATATGGCAACAAAATTGTTTCATATATGCTGAAACCAAAATTATCTCTATAAAGTATATGATATAATAAATGTTTGGAACCAAATTCGACAGCATTAAGTTATTTTAATTTCGTTTGGTGTTGATTTAAAATTTTGGGACAAATATGTTTCTTGGACCTCAAAGGGTTAAAAATACAGTTTTGCTAATGTATTGATGAAACTATCTTGAAATATTTCATCAGTCTTTCTTCGTCGACCGCATTAAAGCGCGGGGGCGTGCACTGCGCTGATTGTTGTCTGTTTGAACACAGACTAGAAGAAAACATAATTTCTATCATAGTGCCCGTGAGCTGCACAATAATATAGAGATTGAAACTGATTTGATTTTGAATTTTTCTTTTATATTAGCTCAACCTTGCTGCCCAAATAGAATCAATGGGTTTTCACTAACAAGTTCAGAGAGTTTCTTGCACATTGACTAAAACTGTATTTAAATTTTCAGATTAAAACTGTTTCCTATAACTAATTGGATTCTGTATTTGTATTTTAATTAGCCAAACCTTGCTGTCCAGAAAGAATCAGTGGGTTTAAACTAACAAGTTGGAACAACAAAAGTGACCAAGTGTTCACATACACGGCTCCTAAGACACTGGCACTAGTCCACACTGTTGTATCTGGATCACGTGATGTTGCTCGTGTCAACGTCACATTAGATGAAGAATATTTAAATTTTTGTGAGGCCGAAATTTATGGAGGTTTGCAGCATAGTTATATATTTTCAACTAAAATAATTAACGTGTTGCTCATGTGTCTTTGATTAAAACCACGGATTTTCTTTGAAACTACTTAAATTGAGTGCAAGTTATAAACGCTAAACTCTCTTTTACTTCCTATTGTAACTGTTAGAATACGTCACTGATAAAAACTCTAAAATTGTCTAAATAATGACATAATGTAAGTCTATTAGATGCTCAATGTCGACGCTTGTATTTCTCCAGTCAACATATGCCCAAAGAACAAATACGGCCTAGACTGTACTAAAGAATGTAACTGTGTCAACAATGAACAATGTCACGTGGACACTGGTACCTGTCCATCTGGCTGTGCTCCAGGCTACACATTTGAAGGATGTCAGACTGGTGAGAGAAAAATCAAAGGGGTTTAAAATTATATATTTTAACATTGAATTCAAAGTTTCTTCCAGGCATCTCTTCGGGTGGGCGCAGCCCCCCCCCCCCCCCCCGAAAAAATTTTACCTCCCACCCGAACGAAATGAAATTTATAAAATTTATATAGAAAATATATACTTTTAACAGTGTCCGCCCCCCCCCCCCCCCAAAGAAAGTTTACCCCGCCCCCCCCCCCCCCCCCCCGAAGATTTCAAGTGCCCCCCCCCCCCCCGGAGAAAAATGTCTGGAAGAAACAATGATTGAATTCAACCTCTATCTGTTTGAACTAATGTTTGTTATGTTGAGATGAATAGCGTAAGCAAAGTGTTAAAATTGTATTTTAGAGTGCAGTGCTGGAACATGGGGCGTTGACTGCCGAAACTCTTGTAGTGTGAACTGTTTTAACAAAGACAGCTGTAACCATAAGGACGGCACGTGTGATGGAGGTTGTGTTGAAGGGTTTAAACCTCCTTTGTGTATTGAAGGTAAAACATCTTTTTGGAAAGAAAAAAGAAATTAGCATTCCTTAAATCACTTTTGTAAAAATCTAGCTAATAATTTTCCTTCTTCTGCATGCCTTTTGTGGTCTCTACTTTAATTTTTTTTTTCATCTATAGTTTTCAAGATCTAAACTAAACTCCATTGACCAAATAATATTAAGAATTACTAACTAGTGTGGTATTCATTACTTTATTGTATCATTTTACTATTATATAATCACCTATCTATAATATATTTCAGTTTGTAACAACAGAACGTGGGGTGTCAGCTGTTCTAAAACCTGTAACAGTAACTGTCTTAATGAAATTTGTCATTCGGTTAATGGCAATTGTTTGATTGGTTGTAAACAAGGTTTCCAAGGGAATCAATGTTCACAAGGTACGTACGTGTTTGTTAAATGAGAACATAGAATATTACAAACGTTATAATTGTATCTATACAAAATCTTTTGTCAGAATTGCAGCTAAAATTCAATACATTGATTCAATATTATTTAATAGAGCATATTCTGTATGGTGTCTGATTTGATTCAGTCTATAAAATATCAGTTGATAGTACATATATTTTTTAGAGTTTGCTTAAAAATGTTATTGTATAAATTAATTGCAACGTATTATAAATAGTCATAACCATTTTGTCTATGTGCCTAGTTTGACTATGGTTATGCGCCCAGAAGTTAAGATGCCATTTTCTTTTGATACAGGCTCTGTCGTGGCTGATCCTGACAATTTTAGAATTGCAATCTATGCCTCAATTATTGCAGTACATTGCTTTTAGTACTACTTGGACAGTTTTATTCCTTCTTCTCCTCCATTATTTTTTTCATGAATTATTAAGCTTCCAAGTGAAACACCTAAAATAACTTCAACAATGAAAATAAAAACCGCACAAAATAATTCAATATTTTTTTCAAAATCGAAGTTATTAATCCAATACATTACTTTGTTCATGTAAGTGTGTTATTTAATCTATATGGGTCGATCAATAGCACAAACACTCCAATTCTCTCTGCTACTCCACTAATACCTACAGTGTGTACACGATACATTGGACATTAATCGAAGGAGTACTGTTCTAATAGTGGAGTTCCAAATGGATGCGTCGCTGGTTTATAGAGTCAATAACGTGTTTTTTAAATAAAGTTTATATACGTTTTTTAATACATATTTTTACAAGAACTACAATATCAACCAGAACGTTAAATTTTACAATGAAAAGTAACGTTTAGCTGCTTGAACAGGTAAACAACAGAAATGTATGAAATCAGTGTACTACGCGTTACTATATTTCAGAGTGTAGTGCAGGTACATGGGGTGATGACTGCCGAAACTCTTGTAGTGTGAACTGTTCTAACAAAGACAGCTGTAACCATAAGAACGGCACGTGTGATGGAGGTTGTGTTGAAGGGTTTAAACCTCCTTTGTGTATTGAAGGTAAAACATCTTTTTGGAAAGAAAAAAAGAAATTAGCATTCCTTAAATCACTTTTGTAAAGTCTAGCTAATAATTTTCCTTCTTCTGCATGTCTTTTGTGGCCTCTGCTTTAATTTTTTTCATCTACAGTTTTCAAGATCTAAACTAAACTCCATTGACCAAATAATATAAAGAATTACTAACTAGTGTGGTATTCATTACTTTATTGTATCATTTTACTATTATATAATCACCTATCTATAATATATTTCAGAATGCAACAACAGAATGTGGGGTGTCAACTGTTCTAAAACCTGTAACAGTAACTGTCTTAATGAAATTTGTCATTCGGTTATTGGCACTTGTTTGAATGGTTGTAAACAAGGTTTCCAAGGGAATCAATGTTCACAAGGTACGTACGTGTTTGTTAAATGAGAACATAGAATATTACAATCGTTATAATTGTATCTATACAAAGTCTTTTCTCAGAATTGCAGCTAAAATTCAATACATTGATTCAATATTATTTAATAGAGCATATTTTGTATGGTGTCTGATTTGATTCAGTCTAAAAATATCAGTTGATAGTACATATATATTTTTTTAGAGTTTGCTTAAAAATGCTATTGTATAAATTAATTGCAACGTATTTTAAAAAGTCATAACAAATTTTGTCTATGTGCCTAGTTTATCTATGGATTTGCGCCGAGAGGTTAAGATGCCACTTTCTTCTGATACAGGCTCTGTCGTAGCTGATTCTGACAATTTTAGAATTGCATTCTATGCCTCAATTACTGCAGTACATTGCTTTTAGTACTACTTGGACAGTTTTATTCCTTCTTCTTCTCCATTATTTTTTAGGGATTATTGAGCTGCCAAATAAAACACCTAAAATAACTTCAATAAAGAAAAACAAAACGCACACAATCATTCAAAATTCTTTTCACAATCGAAGTTATTTATCCAATACATTACTTTGTCATGTAAGGGCGTAGTATGATCTATAGGGGACTATCTATAGCACAAACACTCCAAATTCTCTCTGCTACTCCACTAAGACCTACTGTATGTACACGATACATTGGACATCAAGTGCAGCAGTACATGCTGTTCGCTGTTCTAGTAGATAGGTTCCAAATGGATGTGTCACTGGTTATATAGAGTCAATAACGTGTTTTTAAAATAAAGTTTATAGAAGTTTTTAATATATTTTTTACAAGAACTGCAATGTCAAGTCAGAACGTTAAATATTACAATGAAAAGTAACGTTTGGCTGCTTCAACACGTAAACAACAGAAATGTATTAAGATGTACGAGCCGACCTGCGGCATATCATATGCCGCTATTTAGTTGTTTTATTTTTTACTTTTCAGTAATTCATAATTTGTGAATTCGACAGTACCAATGCTGCCACTGAAAATATTTGCTTTAAAATACTATTAGTAGGTCGTTAAGAACGATACTACCCCCACCCTCCTTTCCCCCAACCCCTACCCTACCCCCCCCCTTCCACGTGAATACAGCCTCCTCTTAGTTACCTCCCCTAAGTTTAAAATCATTTTAAACTAAATTATCTGCCCCTAATAGCTGTCACTAAACACGGCTCGACGATTGTAAACATTTAGCGTGAACCACAACTCACCAGACCATGTAGGGGTGGGGTGGTAGGGAGCGCGCTTACAGCTTGGTGTTTTCTAGCGTCTCCAAGAAGAGAATTATATATATAGATTGTACCTCACTATATTTCAGAGTGTAGTGCAGGTACATGGGGTGTTGACTGCCGACATTCTTGTAGTGTGAACTGCTCTAACAAAGACAGCTGTAACCATAAGGACGGCACGTGTGATGGAGGTTGTATGACAGGGTTTAAACCTCCTTTGTGTACTGAAGGTAATTTCAATATAATATATAAATGTTGGAATTATTAAGAAATTGTGAACTAACAAAACCTTATTGATAAGGTAGTGCTAGCCGATTTAAAATCTATTGATAGGTCTATAAATATACTATGGAAGGGGAGAAATTGTCCGAGGTGTGGACGGGGGGAGCGGACCGTACAGGGTGACACCATTTAATGAGGTGACATCAGGGCAAAAAAATAGAAAAATGTATGGACTAAATATGCTTTTTGCCAGTTCAATGAATGGTTTATTAGAGGTAGGCAGTAACTTAAGTACAAATAGACAATCCCGACGGGGGGGGGGGGGGGGGCTGGTGACAACAAGACCTTAATATGCACATTATAGAGAAAACAATTTTACATCCATCTATGATTCTATATTAATAGCCGACTATAGATAGTTATCGTTAGTATTAGTTGTGAACATTTTAAGGCTATTACCACGGCGTGGGGGGAGGGTGCAAAATGTATAGGTGGATTAAAATAATATTTGCACAAATGGACACTTTTTGGCTAACTCTGATTACCTAAACTTTGATTTCTCATTATTGCTTTGATAAAAAAACTAAAATTATGTCTTTGTTTATTAATCGCTTTTAAAAATTGCAGCTGATACATTTGCTTCTTGTTTCAGCTTAACTTCACTCTAGAGTAAAACTACTCGTATGCAGTTATGTGAATTGTTTTTGCTGCCCATTTTTCAGGAACTAAATTTCAGAAAATAATAATAAACACGACTATTGATTACAGTTGCTTTTATTTGTTGCATAGTCTTAATTTATTTGTAAACGTTCAATTTTCTACGACATATTTCAGAATGTGATGAAGGAAATTATGGCATTAACTGCACTACAACATGCAACAAGAACTGCATTGAGGACGTGTGTAACGCAGTTAACGGCACTTGTTTAAGGGGTTGTAAAGCAGGATACAAAGGATACGATTGTTCAGAAAGTAGTTATTATTTTTATTCAATGCGAACCTATTAAAATAAAAACAACATCATCATAAATGTAGGCGTACATTTTTTAATACACTTTCATACAGCTCATTAATTTTTTTATACATAAAAGTGTGATTATGGGAAATAGGGAACGAAATGTGCTCTGAACACATTTAAACGGTTAACTGAAAACGGAGAAAGGTGGTCATAGTCTAAATTTAAGTTTAGAGTTATTAGTAATGCGACTTTATTTGTTACGAAGCTGTTCCTGTGTAGCTTATAGCTACAATCTTCTATTTATATATGTAAACCTTTTCTGTAAATGAGCGAAACCAGTGTTTCTTCCAGACTTTTTTCTCCGGGGGGCACTTGAAATTTTCGGGGGGGGGGGGGCGGTAGACTTTATTCGGGGGGGGGGGCGGACACTGTTAAAAGTATATATTTTCTATATAAATTATATACATTTCATTTCGTTCGGGTGGAAGAAACCTGGAAGAAACTCTGACCGAAACATGTTGTAATCTAACAGCACAAACTGCAAGTGTAAATGAGGACAGTAGTTCAACAAGCGTAGCTGCTGTTGTGGTGGTTGTGTTAGTTCTTGCAGCGGCGTGTACTACTGCTGTAATAATATTTTACAGGTAGGTACTAGTAGATTGGTGGAACTTAGTTCAAGCTATAGCCTATACAAATTATGTGTATGTTATTGCCATTAAAAATTGTATGTACGCCTACCCTAACAAACATTAGAGTAAAGGAGCAGAGCTATGAATACATCTGGTATTCTTATAAACCAGACTAAAAGCTTATCAGTTAAAAATATATAATGGCAATCTAAGTAATTAGAAACAGTTAAATTCAAACTTCCAAAATAACATGTAACGAATGTGTAAATTTGTAAATTTTAAAATTTGGAGATTTAACATTGCAATGAATTTAAAGCTAACACATGTTTTTCAAATATTTAGTAAGCATTGTTTTCTTTTTAATTAACTTTACCTCAACTTTCTCCGTATGGACTTATTTATTTAAAGAAGAAGGCACGGCAAACAAAGACCTAAGATAAGAGAAGTAGATCTTGACAAAACAGAGGATGATCACAGCTATATGCCTCGCCATGACAGTAATGAGAATACGATCTTAGCTTCCACTACAGGCATGTTGACATTTCTGTTAACATTTTTGGGGGATGTTTTTTTGCATGCTTCTGTATCGTTGCCTAAGTCTGCATACACGTATATGCTAAAGTGTCGTCCGTTTTGCCGGTTCCTCGAAACACCTGAATTACAAAATGAAGTTCATACCCAATCGCCCGATTTTTACATTAATTTATTTCGTTAAATATTTAGTGATGTCTCTATCTTAACAGCATTATACAAGAACGGTTGCGTTTTTGACGAATTTCTAATTAAGTATTTACTATTAAGTTGGAACAAAAAAACCAAAATGTTTACTATTACAACCTACTTGCCAACAATTCCAAATCGACATTAGATTCACAGCTCCATTTTGAAAAGAAATCTTTAAAAATTTAAAATAACCTCTAAATTTAGTCTTATGAATTCCTTTTTAAAAAGAAAATGACATTTGTTCTCAAAACTCCCTTAAAGAACAAGTCATCACTAAATTTCGAATGAACCGGTTTTCCCCACAAGTTTGAAGTTAGCCAACGGTTTACATTTTTTAAAAACTAAAATGTGTCTTTTACCTACTCTCTTAACAAATCATCAATACAATGTTTTATTTCCTTTCTATACAGCTCAGTTTGATGACAAGGAAACAACGAAGCAAGTAGTTGATTCCAATAGTGGATACTACAATATTATTTCTGTCAAAGTAGATACATCCATTGCTATCAAAGAACTAAGTGATTTTATGAGCACTCATAATAAACAGTTCTTTGAACAACAGTTTAAGGTGATTATATTTTAGAAAGTATTTTTTGGGCAACACATATATCCGCTGTTGATTTTAATAGTAGGCATATGTATATATATATATATATATATATATATATATATATATATATACATATTAATGTTTACCAGAGTGTACCAGCTCCCAAAGATGTTTCAAAAAGTGTTGGGTTAAGTGAGTTAAACAAACACAAAAACAGATTCAAGGACATTTGTGCCTGTAAGTTAATATTCCTAAAGCATAAAAATAATATTTTATCGTTGATCTTTATATTTATGCTTGCAAATAAATAAATCAGTCATTTTTATAATATTTAAGCACATTATATATACATTACCATTCTCAATTTTCAGATGACCATTCAAGAGTCCATCTTCAAATAAAAACAGATGACCATGAAGGCGACTATATTAATGCTTGTTATGTTGAGGTTGTTTAAACTGTTTACATTTTAAAACTATCTACTCAAAACTTCGAAAGTGTACTTTGTTTCTACTATATTTTTTAAAAGAGAACTGAAAACATATATTTTAAATTTTCATTATAATTTTTCAGGGATATAAAAATGAGGAAAGATTTATAGCATCTCAAGGTGAATCTTGATAAGCATTTTACAAATTGTAGATTTTTAAGCCATGTTTGTATCGTTCCTATTGTGTACTAATGTGTTCTTGTGGATTTTTTAAGGACCCAATCGCTTGATTTTGAATGACTTTATAAGAATGTTATGGGAACAAAAAGTTGATAAAGTTGTGATGCTGACTAATCTTTTAGAGGAAGGAAAGGTAACATGTTTATATCTTGTGGATGGAAAAATATTTTTAGTCTCCAAAATGTATTATACTATACTAAATCCGATTTTATGTTTTTCAATCAAGTTTTATATATCTTTTTGAATCAATTTTTTAAAATTATTTATTCAATTTTATAACAATCGATAAAAAACAGTTCTAGATCAATTAAAGGAAATAGAAATAAAACGTCATCAATTTGTTATACATTTTGAGAAAAAAATATATTACTAGATAAAATGTGAGCAGTACTGGCCAGATGAAGACGAGGCTACATTTGGTCTGATCACAGTCAAACTGACAGTCACTGATGTGTTCGCTGACTACACCATCAGACAATTTATTCTAAATAAAGTGAGTTAGGGAAACATACTACATTAACATTATCTATATTGTTACTATAATGCAATACATTCCCACAACAGTAAATATTCTAGTGAAGTGCATTGTTGTAAGATGTCTATTTACTATATGTCTTTATTTTACAAATAATTCATTTTTTTGTATTATTTTAAATACAACCACTACAATAATATAATATTTCTTAGATTACACATTAAGGCCAATACATTAGTAGACTTTTTAAAAATATTAATTTTAAAAATTTAATACGTTGATATAATATATCAATATATTTAAAAAAAACTAATTGCCATATCTGTTAGAAATTAAAAATATAAATTAAAATATAATAGTATGAGTTAAACAATTAATTGGTGAAGATCATGATCATTTACAATCTCTTCAGAAAGGCCATCCTCCACACTCAGTGAAACAATTCCATTTTACATCATGGCCTGACCAAGGTGTTCCATTAACTCCATGGGCTCTTGTAGAGTTTGAGCAGAGAGTGGCATCACAGCCCACAGCCACACCTACTGTTGTACATTGCAGGTAGAAAAAAACTAAAAATTCTTTAAACTTTTTATAACATTATTTCAATGTTGATTAAATTATTTTATATTAGAAAAATTAAAAAAAAACATAAATAGATATGTCTGCTGTTTTTTCCCGATAACCAGTGCTGGTGTGGGGCGTACTGGAACCTTCATAGCTCTACGTCACGTGATGAAAGAAGCTGAGGACACTGGACGCATGGATTTCTTTAAAACTTTAATCAAACTCAGACAGGCCAGAGTCTTGATGATACAGACTGCTGTAAGTTGTGTGTTGTGTTGGTAAAACTTTAATCAAACTCAGGCAGCCAGAGTCTTGATGATACAGACGGCTGTAAGTTGTGTGTTGTGTTGGTAAAACTTTAATCAAACTCAGGCAGGCAAGAGTCTTGATGATACAGACTGCTGTAAGTTGTGTTGGTAAAACTTTAATCAAACTCAGACAGGCCAGAGTTTTGATGATACAGACTGCTGTAAGTTGTGTTGGTAAAACTTTAATAAATATTTGATTTTTCAATAAAATTTACAGTTTTCAAACTCCTTAACTGTTACATCTCGGGTATATAGGTCGTTAGCTGGGGACAGCCACTTTTCTAGGAGAGACAACTCCAAAATCAAACAACTGCTGCCTTGTAGTTTGTTCTTGGTTGGACAAAGGCTATGGAACCAAATCTAAAAAGAAAAGCAGGCTGAAATCGGAGTCAATGGCGTCAATTGCGCATAACCAGTTGACACGTAATCATTAATTGTGATGGAGGCGTGGTCGAGTCGGCAAAAAGCTCATGGTCGATTAATTCTAAAAAAAAGTCTCGAGTTCTAGCAGATAAGGCTCGATCACTTCCAACACTAAAAATTAAGAACGAAGAAGAAGAAAGAAGAAGACTGTTACATGTCAATTAACGTACTAAAATAATATGCTGCTTGTCAATGCAATCATAAGATGATTTCCGAGCTGGTAGTTTATAGGAAAAATAGCAACAGTTATTGGTTGAAGTGAATTAAGATCTACAAAATAAAGAAAGTGTATACTTTTAATTGAACCTAGAGTAAATTGCAAGCTACCATTATACATTATTAAACACTATTTAACAAGGCAATGTTTTGTATTTAGGAACAGTACGAGTTTCTACATAAGGCAGCTTGTGTTGCCTTGGTGTGTATGAAAACAACTGTCGCGTCCTGTGATGTTGGGGAAAGAATTCAATTTCTACACACAAAAACAAAGTCAGGTCCAAGTCATATGCAGAAAGAATTTGAGGTAATGTTGATTTTGTTTTATTTATAAGCAATTTAGTACTGTAATTCTTTCGTTGCAAATGTCATTGTCGACTGATTAGACATTGCTGCTTATTTTTTATTCATCAAGAATTATGTTCCTTTATAATTATGTAAATTTGTATTAACCTCTGTATTGTTTCCTATTTTAGTTTCACAGAAAGATTACTTTGTGTGCATTAATAAATAACTAGTTAAACATTTCTTTTAATTATCTAGGCAGTGTGTGGCTTGTGTCAAAATGTGGATGATGGTCACAAAGAATCTGATGTAGGTGATGTTTACCAGAACACAAGTACTGCAGTCAAGCAACAGAAGAACAGAAATACACAGATTTTACCACGTATGAAACAAAATTATTTAGGATTAAACTTGTATAGAGAAAATCTATTATTTACTTTTTTTTATTCTCTTAAAACAAGAACTAACTCCAGAAGCGTTTGTTAAATATAGAATCAAATATTTCTCTTCAGACGAAATGTACAGAGCACAGCTTGCTGCAGATACAGCTAATGCAAGCGACTATATAAATGCTGTTCTAATTCCAGTATGCCTTTTTTTTACAAATTTGTTATTTTACAAAATTATGAACATTACTTAATCTCAATACACAGTACATTTTGTATTTGATCATATTTGATGATATTTTATCATATCAATTTTCTTTATTATTTATAGACCAGAAAATATTATAGTAGACATCTACAATTGTATCCACCAACCCTTTCAAGCTCAGTTATATAACACTGAAATGTAATTGATGTTTTCAGAGTTTTAGAAAAACTAGACATCAAATTTTAACACAGCTACCCCTCCCTTCAACTGTGGTTGACTTTTATAGACTGGTAACTCAGTACAGAGTGTCTCTGGCTGTGGCGTTTGATGGGGATGTTCAGTCACAAGATTCCGTATGTGGTTTAGTGCATTTTATTTACAACCACAAGATTCTTAATAAGGCTATTTGATTTTTATTTTTTTTTATACAATTACATGATTCAGTATATCATGGGTTTTGACTTTTTTGTTTTTAGTTCATACAAATGTTATAAATCTATTTTAAAAATTAAAAATAATAATAACAATGCATTTTGTAGTTTAATTCAGTCTCAAATACATGAACATAAATTGTATATATATTAATTAAATTAAGAAAGAAAAATGGCATAAGATCTAGACTAAAAAAGGGGATGCAACTCTGTTTCTTTTGACTGATTAGTTTACTTCATCTTTAGCTGTAAAGCTGTAAAATTTATTTTAAATTAAATATACAGTTTATGAATTGAAGACCTTAGTGCTAAAAGTACTTAAGTCACAAAAACAACATTTTGAGAAAAATGAGTTCAAAGATTAAAATTTACTATGAAACATTACGTTTTTATATTATTTGTTTGTTTGGAAGAGCAAATTAAATAAATTCTTCAGTATCACTATTTGTTTATAAGATAAAGTTAAACTAGAGGAATAACGATCAATGCTTGGTTTGATTTTTACAAAAATGTGACTTAAGTACTTTTAGCACTGGGCTCTTCAATTTGATGCTATTTGTTGTTTTTTTCTAGCAAACACTAGGAAATTACCTACCTGTGAGTACAACCGAACCATTAAAATGTGAACCTTTTGTGATTTCAAGCAGTGAAATCAAGGGAGATAATATCCTGGACGAGCAGAAACTGACTATTAATAAAATCTCTGATGTAGGTTTTAATACATATTGCAATTAGTTTTAAAGGCAAATATATGTGTATCATATGGATTTGGGGGTGGGAGATTAAACTAAAATGTTGAATTATTATTGTTAAATATAACAAAATGTAATTCACATTGATTTTTTTATCAGGCAAATGTGCTTAGTTAAGATTGTTTAATTAAACACAAATATATTACATAATAAAGTTTTCGATAATTTTTTTTTCAGACAAATGCGACACATTCGATGACTTTTGTAAAATCTTCTATAAAAAAACTGCATCCAAAAAAACTGTATCAAATAATTCAGAAAGTCAGATCACAAGCATCAAAATTTAATGGAAGAATTCTGTACATGTGCAGGTAGTTATCATTTTCAATGTTATTGTTCATTTAAGCAAACACATAGTAATGTTTAAATACCTCCAATTGGTTTTACATGTACTAAAAGACGTAATGTACCTACTTGTTAAAAATGAGAATTATAGGTGGCAAAATACTTACTTATTGAGACTTAAAAATATGTTCCTTGACATGTTTAGTGATGGAGCAGAATGGAGTGGTTTGGCAAGTGTTCTCACACTGTTGTTGGATAGAATGGACCACGACCAGCGTCTAACTGTTCCACTTGTTGTTGGGGCTATCAAGAGTGTACGGCCAGAAGTTATTTCATCATTGGTAAATATTTTAAAAGTCGATTTTTTTCGTATTAAAAATTTACTTATTTTTTCAAGAAAACTTTTTGTTAAATTTTTAAAAATATGAAAACAAGTTATGTAATTATAAAATACATTAGTATAAATCCACCAGAAACTTAAACTTATGTAGAGTTTTAAAATAATTTCTTTTTTAAAATTGTAAATATTACATTACTATACTCTTCAATGGAAATAAATTAAAGAATGTTAAAATAATTTATGAAAAAACTCTATACAATGATTTTTTTTTTAATTGGCTTAAAATTAATATAAATTTTAAATTGAATATAATATTAAATACTTTCCACAGAGTCAGTATGAAGTGTTGTATAAAGTGTTGGAAAGATACCATGAGGTGACATCTTCATACAACAATGTTGGTGATGTCAGGATTGTGCCAATTATTCAGACAAGTGAGAATGGACCACAGGAAGACTCTCTGAATGTGTACGTCAACAATGATGTGACATCAGCTGTTTGAGCTATTATTTTAGTTTTCATTATAAAAGTACTGAAACATACTAGATGTAATAAGGTGGTACTATGTATCAGTTATTGTAGATGATAGAAATGATGAAAATTAAATATAAAAGATTATAGTTATTAAACAGAATGGTGTATGAAAATTGTCAATGAATATCCAAGTAATGTTTTCACTCTGCTTAAAGGAAACTTTATAGAGTGATATTGTACACTTCACAATTAAGAGATAGGGATGCTAAATGTAATTATTTATGATACATATTTGAAATTTAATATGTGTATTTGATAATTGGCTTTATAATGGCTAAGGATGCATTTATGTCAACTCTAAATTGTTTTCATGTTTTCTTATAACTGTGAATTTTATGTGTATCATGTATCAAGCACCATTGGCAAGAAAGGGAGTGTGATTGGGATAAAAAAAATAACAATGTTATCTCATTAAGTACAGTAACTGTTGAGTCATGTCACTTTCAATTAGTTTATGCTTCAACATTTGGAATGCCATTAAACCAGAATGTGTATGCTTTTAACTTTTTTGGAATCTATATACATATAAATAAGCTAGCGGCAGAATATGGGTTTATTTATACTTAAATATTAAAATACATTAGTAATTAAATTAAACACTGCAAAAACCAACAAATATTTTAGATCACAAATGGTTAGAGCAGAAAAACACTAAAAGATAATGCCTCCAATATACAGCGAGTAATTTTGTACATGGCAATGCTAAGAGTGTGAACATGTAACTAAATGTGACAAGCAAAAACTTTAGAAAAGCATAGATATTTTTTTTCTACACGTCATGTAACTTGATAATTTTCAAACTAAACTGTGCATAACTGTCAACTTTACAATAAATGCAATGTAAATACTATTCATTTTTAAATATCAGATAATTTTATTTAATTGTTTTTTATTAATAGCATTATTTATCTTAGATACTATTATTTTAAATACGGTTCATTGGGTTTTTTTTTAGATTTTCTATATGATGATACTTGTATTAACAATTTTAGTTGCAAATAATAGTGTATATTGTTATGTCTATGTCATAATATTTCATTATTTGGGGCTGTTGCAAAAAACCGCTGGAAATTTTTTTTTATATTTTATTAACAAAAATCTATTGTGAATACCGTTAGTTTTTGCACCATACCAAATTTTGAAAAAATAAAAAAAATAACAAAAATATTTTTAGAGTGTTTTCTGTTTAAAAAAACCCAGCCGGCTGACTCTATTAGTGTTAGTAAATTAAGGATCAATGATTATATGGCCACTTAATATGTTTATGAAATTTTAGAACTCAACAAAAGGTTATTTTTTTAAGATGGCCGCCCTTACCATGGCAACCATATTTTCAGAAGAGTCCCTGATACAAATATTTTCCTTTAAGTACCCTAACTTATATATACACAAATAAATAAATAAAGCATATTAATTAAGAAGTTTGTTTTTTCTGGAGCCTACCCCTTTAAGCTGTATTAAGCTGAGGTGTTTAACCACCGTCGCTTTAGTCACGGTGGTAATGCCGCCCGATTAGTTTAGTTAAGTCTATACAGTCAGTTTTATGATAGATTATAAATATCTGTCATGATGTCTCCACTTCTCACCCTTCTTGCTACCCCACAGGTAACGGTACACACCTGGACCCGAGTCCAGCGGTATTGTAAGGCTGACCGGGTCTCGGCCTCGGACTGCGGTCACGAGGGGCGGAACCTGAGTCATGTGACTTGTAGAGTAGGGATGCCACGGTCCGGTCACTATACCTTCTCCCAGTGGCGGAACTAGAAAAAAGGGCCACCCCGCAAAAAAAAAATTCTGAAATTCTGGGCCCCCCTATATATATATATATATATATATATATATATATATATATATATATATATATATATATATTTATATATATATATATATATATATATATATATATATATATATATATATATATATATATATATATATAAACACATAATACAAGTATTGGGTACTCATTTCTAGCCTGATCGAGTTTTGAAATTATTTTTTTTTAATTTAAACAAATTACAGCATGTCATGTGTGTGAGTGTCATGTGTGCGAGTGCATTGGTCTGTATAGAATTTTTTTTAAAGATTTAGAATTAGTCTATTCAAAATATTTGCTGTAATACTGCCTACACTGCCCTATATGCTAGTTTTTAGCCGGTCAAAGAATATAAAACGTTAAAGCTTTGTATATGTAATGGTTTCTCGTGTTATGACTATTTTTATGTTTTTTTTTGTATTTATATTACTTGTTTCAAATATATTTCCTTTTTATGCTATGTCATTCTTTAGTAATTATTAAAAGAAGTTATTGCTTTTTAATTTGTTTAGTAGAAATATATTAAAAGGAGCTTAGGAGCGCCCCTATTTAACTATTTAAAAAAGGGAAATAAGTCATGGAAGTGTTTTGAACGTTTGCCTATCTTTCAAACTACAGCTCAAGCATATTTTTTTTACACAACAGCATGTGTTAGCTACTGTATAACATCACTACTGTAGCAGATCTGTTTCTTATTTACAAAAAGCTTTTACCGTTAAGTCAAAAATGCAAGAAAATTATTTTTTTTTTACTATACTATAAAAAATTTATTATGGTCGGCTATGGGCCCCTAAATGGCGTGGCCCCTCCCTCCCCCCCCCCCGCATTGCGGGGTCTGGCGGCACTGTAGTTCCGCCCCTGCCTTCTCCCTTCATCGGAGGTACATGATTTTGGTGCTAATGCACTTGCCATTTTAATATTATACTCATTTTGGTGCTACGGCACTTGTTCTCCGCGTAGAAATTTTTGTTTTGGCAACGTGTCTAGAGGATTGTGTGGCTTCGGTGGAAGGTAATTGACACTTACTTACTTTTATTAACTGCACTGTTATAAATTATTCAATAATTATAAAATGTGTATAAAACAATGTATCAATGAAAATGATATTTTTTAGTAAAGTTCATGATAGGCTAATGTAAATGTATTATCTTTGCAACCATAGTAAAATTGTATGTGTCTGAAGTTTGAATGAATGTGTATATCACTCAGATGTTAGGAAGTTTGTCAAATGTATTTTACAGCCGGCCAGCTTGGGGCTAAAGCCTAGACGCTACAGAGGTCCGTGTGTGAGCAAGTGATACCACGCCGCCCTGAGAACCAGTCGTCATCGCAGGCTGCTCTGACTTTGCTCCTTTGTTAATTACTCTATGTTAATCTTCATATATTAAATTTTAAATAAGTGTCAAATCTCTGCACTGAGTTAATTATTGACTCATATTGTTAAACCCTTTTCACTAAACCAAGTATTGGCTACCAGTGAAAAACATTAATATACATTAAGAAATTATTCTGTTAGGTATTAAGGGACCTCTTGTCCAACGAGACAAACCCTAGGCCTAACAAGTCATTCTGTAGCTGCGGCTATATCTATTTATGTGCGGTATGATTCGATAGAGCATATTTGCAACGGTCAGGGCTTACATTTATACTTTGACGTTTTACATTTCCTGGTTTAAACTAAACGTCATAAAGCTCAGCTATAGTAGAAGCAGTGATTTAACTGATTTAAATAAGCTTATGAAAATACAAGTCGTCCTAATATAGCACACATACTCTTACCACAGTTCCTGCACACACTCACACGCTCACACACATACACACACGCACTCATTCACTCACTCACATATTCAGACTTAAGTCTCACTCACTAAATACATTTCAGTCTATTTTCATTTACCACTTCTCTCTTACATGCACTGATCTAGTGTATATAGACTCCCATCCACTTCTCTCTTACATGCACTGATCCGTGAAATGTATTACGTGGACACAGTGGCATTTTCCATCGGTGACCAACTATGGCGCCTGTGAGAGAAGTTTAAACAGACATAAGTTATGACGACATGGGTTCCGCAACTGATGAGATAGCCAGACTTTTTTGTCATAATGTGGTACTTTGTGTTATGCGAGACTCTTAGACAACACGCAGATACATATGGATAGTAAAAAATTAATCATCTTTTATTATTGTTATAACTTAGCTTCTTACCACTTTCAAAGACGTATAATACTTATAAGGATACTACTCCGTGGCTTAATTTCTGCTACTCATGGGGTTTTCAAATCGGTTTCTGTCCCTTGACTAGGTTAACTGAACAACTGCAAAGTGGTATATTCACTCGCGTTTCATATTTCAATATCTTTCAAGGAGATGCCATACAATTTAGTGGACAGAAAATCTGAAAATATTCATGAGGCAGATATCTGAACTTTTAATAATCTGGACTAAATGTTTTCGTTTCGTCAAACGGTTATTCTAACCTAGAGGATAAATATTAAACAGGATAAACGTTGTGCTGTTTAGCCGATCCTCACCTGATATGTATGTGTCTGTGTGTATATATGAACTCAATATCTGTGCTTCGATACGGTGTGAACATTCAAACGTTTTTTTTTAGGTAGACACGGAAGAATGGTTAAAAAGTACTTTTATTTTACACAAAAAAAGAGGAGAGAATAAGGGCAAACAACATAATACGTTTAGTATCCCCAAGGTGAGTCAGGTACGTCATTAGGACTAGATCACGGGATCAGAACTTGCGACTCTCAGGTTATCAGTCGTTAGCTCTGCCATCCGTCCACACTGTCCGTTAAGTGTTATTAGATGTAATGATACTTAGTGTGGTTTGTACTGGTGAGGCATACCTGGTGTGGGAGACATTGTTTAATATACTATATACGCCTTTTCCCAGCAAATCAACTTTAAAATGGGTCTAGGATCTCCTATTATTATTTGAAATGTTTTAACAACATTTATTTTATTGAATCTACAATCATGACAAGGAATGCAGTAGAGAAGGAAATTTTACATCGTACATGGCCCACTTTCCTACAAGAAGGAAAAGACAGTGAAGTGTTTTGTAAAACTTCCAAGGTAATGTTTAATTAAAAGCCAAATTTTTGTAACGTTGTTAATGTTTTGTTTAAATTATTGATCGTGGATTGTGTTTTAGCGACCGTTGACGTGTTATAATAGAGAACGAGTTAAACCTTTTGTGTTTAAAGTAACAGATAATCCGGCTATGATAATTACAGAGTCAGTACCGAAAGCACCGCAATAGTAAACTTGTCAACGTTTAAAATTAAAGTAACACATTAAAATATATTCAAATATTTATTATTAATTACGTTAAACTTAAATTTTAGGCCTACCGTAAAATTATATCAGCAATTTACTTCCTTTTGAGCTTTTCTATTGAAGTGGATTGGTGTGATTAATTTTTAGAGCTTATTGGACATTGGTAGCTATTTAAAAGTTATTTTTAAACTAAACACATTGCATTAATGATATTTAAAATATTTTACTGTCTAATGAAAGCAATTACAATATTGAGTTTGGCAACGGAATAATATGGTGCATCATATATTCAAAATTTGGTTTTAGAAAAATATTTTTTTAAAAGATGTCAAGCTAAAGTAAAAAATCAGCGAATACGCGTTTTTAAAAAAATAACTTTGTTAAAGCATGCAACTGATGCGTGTCTAAATAATGGAGTTTCCGAATCTCTGTCAAAGCATTTAAGTCAGTAAAAGTGTAATGATTAGTTTTAAGATAGACACTATTTTAAACAAAAAGAAAAGTGGGCATTCATTATTGCTGCTGTTTTATTTACATTTTAAGCCAGATCCTTGTGAGATGAGGAGTGAGACATACTGCAAATTGGCTATAGGGTTTATTTTACAATTTCGTTCGGGATAAATCTTCTATATATATATATATATATATATATATATATATATATATATATATATATATATATATATATATATATATATATATATATATATATATATATATATAAAGCAATGTATGTTTTTGTGTCTGTCTGTCTTTTATGCATTACTACACCTCCCATCACATCGCCATGAAACTTTGGGATGTTGTGAATATTTCTGGGGAGGTTTTTTCGGAAAAAAAAATCAAATTCGTAGGGGTGGCGCCCCAGCAGGGCGCAATTTGTTTTTTCTCTGTATACGGTATATAGAAATAAAAGTCGATTTTGGTTTGACACCGTTCATACGATCGCCATCAATCTTTCGTGTGTATATTAGAACACTCCATGGAAGGGGTTTATAATTTCCCAAGGGCGGCGTCACGGGAGGGTGCGATTTTTCTCTATATACAGTATATAAAAAATAAAAGTCGATTGCAGTTTCACACCATTCATCCGATAGATATCAAACTTAGGGGAGTTTATTAGAACACTACCTGGAAGGGTTCTGGAAACATATATTTTTTTTTATTTCGCGTTTGTGGGGCAACTAAAGCTGAGTTCATCTATTTCAATGACTTCAGCACCCAAGAGATAGTATGGTCAGCACTTTGTCAAGCTACCTCTGTTTCCCTAAGGTAACTCGGCTACCCATCGTATATAGTTGGAGGTCACCAGTGGCGTAGTCAGGGGGTCATAACCCCCCATAGACCCCTCGGTATATATATAAAGTATGAGGGAGGGGTGTAAATCGAAAGATTGATGGGGGTGCAAATCGAAAGTTTGAAGGGGGGGGGGGGGGGGCTGCAAATCGAAAGTTTGAGGGGGGGTGCAAATCAAAAATTTGTCCCCGGGTAAAAATTTGCACCCCCCCCCCCCCCCACCATGAGACGATCCTGGCTACGCTACTGGAGGTCACTCAATCTTGAGCCCGTGATGTAAACTCACAACTTTCGTGTTAGTGGTCGTAATCTCTACTATTTTCATATAGTTTGTCCAAAATATTTTTTTCTGACATTTTTATGTCCGCATTTGTTCTATTTCTAAAATATTGTCTGCGTGAGATCATCTGTCTTGATATATACTGTCCTCTACATATTTTGTCTGAGATTACTTTCTAGTAACCTAAACCTAAATGCATTACAATGCAACATGAGCTTACAACCAATCGTGTTGTACCTGCCATGTTTGTAGAGATGGGCGCGTTAGCTTAATTTCTATGTGACAAAAATAGATAATTTTTTTTTTAAAATACAAGTTTTGTTGTATTCATTATAATAAAAAGGATAAAATATCCTTTATATTTTGGTTTAACTATAGATAAAAAAAGGTTTTAAAATATTTGGGTGGTCCACGTCAATGAAAAAGCGATGCCTACTTAAAGTTATAAGTGTATGTTATCCTATTCATATGTAGCTTGAAGTTTATTAATTAGTATACAATCGTTTTCTTTTGAATATTTAGAAAACAAATCTTTAAAAAACGCATAGACTTTTTCAATGCACCAATCTTTAAAAAATATCACACTTTAGCGTAGGTAATATGCTCGTTTAAGCTAGTCTATATATTTCAGTATATCATTTTCATTGTTTGTCATCAATTTTTAGCAGCTTAAAAAAGGCGGTTTTATTAAAGTATTTAATATCGCATTTGTTTTGATAATAATAGCTGGCACGTACAATAACGAGAAGATGATAACCTATTACAACCCTTATTTTAAGAAATCTTATATCTATTACATTTATAACAATTTCAATATCTTTCTTAAAAATAAATTAACTTAGTTATCTGCGTTTTAGAAATATTTGCGATTTAATAGAATATGTTATCGGGAAAAACTGCACCAAAAAACGCGTAATAAACACGCTGACTTCATCAATTAGGCTGTTGTGGCAGGTTAACACATACATTATTGTAAAAGTATATTAATTTTAATTTCTATAGCCGAGTAAGTATTTTAAATCATATTCATATTCTCAATCTTATCGTGATAGAAATTAAATGAATAAATTATTTTAAACTCAATATTCTCTTTACCAGTATCATTTCAGTCTAAAGTCAGAAGGAAAAGTATCACACTTTTATCATTGCGTTTTGTTCGTCAACATCCGGTTTAGACTATTTATAGATCTACTTCCGACTATAGTTAGACACACGATATATTTAATTATTACATCCATTATTATTTCTAGGTGTACCAAGTAATTGAGATTGTTGTGAGTAAAAAATGATCAATTTTACTCATCGTGTCTGCACGTGCACATTTCTACACTTGTGCCCCCCCTCCCCCCAGTCGGATGAGGAGATTGTGTGTCAAAGTTTAGTCTTTATTTTGCCTTCTTACACGCTAATTAAACAGCTTTAAAAATTAAAAGCGAATAGAAAAAATACATAAAATATAGATTGTATAGTCTCATAATTTTTCATAAGATGCTACAGGTAGTTAAAACCTCCATTTTATAAATTCTGGATTGAAGGCTATAATTAAAAACTTGTTAGCGACTGTCTTGATCTACATCTATTTTGAGCTACTGGAGCTGGAGGGATAGGTTTAATCTTACTATATCTTATGCGTACCTAACGAAGTAGAATTGTTAGATACCAAATATTTACTATATCTGATTCTATTTTGAATATAACAATGTAATAAAAACTAACTTTGAATGGCAACTTAAAAATATGTGGGGCCTATTAATTATAATCTAATTAGCAGTAAATGGAAAAGAATGAGCAAATAAGTTAATTAATCAACAAAAGAGCGAAGAGACGGCGTTATGTACTTCAAAATTCTTGCTATAAAAATCCTTTGCACGTTTATCGCAATACATTTAGTTTCATTAAGTTGTTTGTATAGCCATTTTGATATTTTAGTTCATGTTTGTTTCAAATTCACTATCTAGCATACATACACATGCATGTATATATGGGTCTACGACAAATTCCCGAATGCGACAAATGCCCGAATGGACACTTGCCCGAATGGGCCAATGTCCGAATGGACACTTGACGGAATGCTTTTGTCGCATTCGGGCAAGTGTCCATTCGGGAAATCGGATTTCGGGCAAACGACATTCATGCAAGTGTCTTTTGGGAGAAACGTCCGGCTCCCTTGTATATATATATATATATATATATATATATATATATATATATATATATAGGTAAATAAATATCTTAATATGTGTTGATGATAATATTTTTAAAAACTATAACATAAGGTAAACAATGGGTCTCTAGTAAGATGTGTTTTGCAGTAATATGGTTCACTTTCAGATAGTAATCTTCATTGTTCCATACTACATTGTTAACCCTTTGAGCCCGGCAGGCCGGTAAACCGGCTTCAACATTAGGCATATATGTCCGAAAAGCCGGTTTTCGGGCCCGATGATCTAGCGTAATATTCCTAGTGGTCGGTATACCGTCTGATTAAATATTATTAGCGGAAGACTGACTAAAACTGCGCATATGTCTTTTGAGTGCGGGATTATGATTTTAAAAATTGATTTTTAGGACAAGTTAAAGTGAAAGTGGTTCCATTTCGTAGCAATGCCGCCGAAACGAAAAGCTGAGCCACAGCCGTCGACTTCATCATATAAAGTTGGTGCAAAAGATGAAGCAAAAGACCGAAATATCAACAAAAGAAGTAGAATGACTGCATCTCAGGCAATACAACTACTTATTGATTCTGATGAAGAAGATGATATTCCTGGTCTATATTGTGATGATAGTGACGTTGAATTTGAGACTGAACACAGTGACATTGAAATTGACAGTGACAATGAAACTATTCAAGTAAGTGCTGATGCACGTGGTGTTAAGGACAAAGACTTGCCGAAACAAAACAAAAAATGTTTACAGGTGCAAAACATGCGAAGATTTTCTTTGCATCGGGTCCGGCAGTGAAAACTGTTTTGAAAGTTATCACACAAAAGTGGACTTCTGGCGATAAACTAGTATGGCCAGGTATCAATAATAACAACAATTACTAAATGTAAATTTGTTTCTTCTATGTTCTATCAAAAACAATAATTATGTGTTCGTTTTATATACATTGTTCTGTTCATACATTGTAAAAAAAAAAAAAGAATGTCCGAATCTTGCTGCATTGTTGTGTGATCCTGAGTCTGGATACCAAATTTGGCTTGATCATTTCAAACGGTTCAAAAGTTATAGACACAGTTAGAAGCAGATAAGTGAAATTTGGTTTGGTCCTGGGAGCTCAGGAAATGGGAGAAATTAGGTCAGGGAGGCCAGGGCTCAAAGGGTGTAACATGTTTGTATAGATGTGTCATTACGCGGTATTGCATAATGTTCTTGTGAAGCTTCATAGATTAAGTACTAATGCAAGTGTGTTTATATACAAAAATAATATTACATTTCTTGAAGTTGTGTGTGTTTATCTATATATTTTGTCTTCTAAGTGTTTCCTATGTCCAATAAATTTTTATTACAGGCCGCCTTGTACATCAGTAAAAGTTTACATTTTAAAAGACCTCACTATATCAGTAAACCGCTCTGCACCGCTGTTGTGACGTTTTGGTCGTTAACATTTGTCAGAAGGCTGAAATGGAGAAGATTGAAAAAGGAAAGAAAACACTAGAAAAAGGAAAGAAAACACTAGAGAAAGCCGAAGAAAAATTAAAAATGAAAGCAGAGAAACTTCAAGACAAAATGAATGGAGAGAGTAGCCGCCAGGGAACTAATGAGGGTGCGAGTGAAGATCCAGGGGTCAGCGAGGTCAACACGGAAGAAAACGACGAAAACCTAGAAAAATTATTTGCAGGTATGTGTACCCGTAAATGTGATTGTAATTGTGTATGTGAATAGAAACGGAAATGGAAATGAGAATGGGATTTGGAATGGAAAAGAGAATTTGAATGTGGATGGGAATGAAAAAGGAAATGAAAACTGAGGCCGAAGTGGAAATGTGAATTTGAAGTTAAAGTAAATGTAGAAGGAAAGGTAAATATAGAAGTAAAGTAATGCTATGGGTATGGGTATGGGTGTGGGTGTGGGTGTGGGTGTGTGTATGTGTATGTGTATGTGTATGTGTATGTGTATGTGTATGTGTATGTGTATGTGTATGTGTATGTGTATGTGTATGTGTATGTGTATGTGTATGTGTATGTGTATGTGTATGGGTATGGGTATGGGTATGGGTATGGGTATGGGTATGGGTATGGGTATGGGTATGGGTATGGGTATGGGTATGGGTATGGGTATGGGTATGGGTATGGGTATGGGTATGGGTATGGGTATGGGTATAATATGGGTTTAGATTTGGGTACGGGTATGGATATGGGATTGGGTTTGGGTATGGGTATGGGTATGGGTATGGGTATGGGTATGGGTATGAGTATGGGTATGGGTATAATATGGGTTTAGGTTTGGGAACGGGTATGGGTATGGGATTGGGTTTGGGTATGGGTATTTGTCAGATCGAAATGATTGGGTGGAAGATAGAATGTAATGTAGTTAGGACAGAAATGATGGGGTATATAAAGACATTAAAATGTTAGAAGAATTAGTTATCGCTTAGTTAGTGTAGATATGTAAAGACAGAAAAAGGTTACAAAAGGCAGTTACCGTTCAGTTAACGCATAATCCTACTAGAATGTTTGTGTAGCCAACGTTAACTATTGTTGTGAATGTTTGTGCAGTCAACGTTAACTATTGTTGTGAATGTTTGTGCAGTCAACGTTAACTATTGTTGTGAATGTTTGAGTAAGAAACGTTAACCATTGTTGTGAATGTTTGTGCAGTCAACGTTAACTATTGTTGTGATTGTTTGTGTCGCCAACGTTAACTATTGTTGTGAATGTTAGTGTAATCAACGTTAACTATTGTTATGAATGTTTGAGTAAGAAACGTTAACCATTGTTGTGAATGTTTGTGCAGTCAACGTTAACTATTGTTGTGATTGTTTGTGTCGCCAACGTTAACTATTGTTGTGAATGTTTGTGTAGTCAACGTTAACTATTGTTATGAATGTTTGAGTAAGAAACGTTAACTATTGTTGTGAATGTTTGTGTAGTCATCGTTAACTATTGTTGTGATTGTTAGTGTAATCAACGTTAACTATTGTTATGAATGTTTGTGTAAGAAACGTTAACCATTGGTGTGAATGTTTGTGTAGGAAACGTTAACTATTGTACTGAATGTTTGTGTAATCAACGTTAACTATTGTTGTGAATGTTTGTGGAGCCAACGTTAACTATTGTTGTGAATGTTTGTGTAGCCAACGTTAACTATTGTTGTGAATGTTTGTGTAATCAACGTTAACTATTGTTGTGAATGTTTGTGTAATCAACGTTAACTGTTGTTGTGAATGTTTGTGTAATCAACGTTAACTATTGTTGTGAATGTTTGTGTAGCCAACGTTAACTATTGTTGTGAATGTTTGTGCAGTCAACGTTAACTATTGTTGTGAATGTTAGTGTAATCAACGTTAACTATTGTTGTGAATGTTTGTGTAGCCAACGTTAACTATTGTTATGAATGTTTGTGTAAGAAACGTTAACCATTGGTGTGAATGTTTGTGTAGGAAACGTTAACTATTGTACTGAATGTTTGTGTAATCAACGTTAACTATTGTTGTGAATGTTTGTGGAGCCAACGTTAACTATTGTTATGAATGTTTGTGTAGGAAACGTTAACTATTGTTGTGAATGTTTGTGTAGCCAACGTTAACTATTGTTGTGAATGTTTGTGTAATCAACGTTAACTATTGTTGTGAATGTTTGTGTAATCAACGTTAACCATTGGTGTGAATGTTTGTGTAGGAAACGTTAACTATTGTACTGAATGTTTGTGTAATCAACGTTAACTATAGTTGTGAATGTTTGTGGAGCCAACGTTAACTATTGTTGTGAATGTTTGTGTAGCCAACGTTAACTATTGTTGTGAATGTTTGTGTAATCAACGTTAACTATTGTTGTGAATGTTTGTGTAATCAACGGTAACTATTGTTGTGAATGTTTGTGTAGCCAACGTTAACTATTGTTGTGAATGTTTGTGTAGTCAACGTTAACTATTGTTGTGAATGTTTGTGTAGGAAACGTTAACTATTGCACTGAATGTTTGTGTAATCAACGTTAACTATTGTTGTGAATGTTTGTGGAGCCAACGTTAACTATAGTTGTGAATGTTTGTTGAGCCAACGTTAACTATTGTTGTGAATGTTTGTGTAGCCAACGTTAACTATTGTTGTGAATGTTTGTGTAATCAACGTTAACTATTGTTGTGAATGTTTGTGTAATCAACGTTAACTATTGTTGTGAATGTTTGTGTAGCCAACGTTAACTATTGTTGTGAATGTTTGTGTAGTCAACGTTAACTATTGTTGTGAATGTTTGTGTAGTCAACGTTAACTATTGTTGTGATTGTTTGTGTAGTCAACGTTAACTATTGTTGTGAATGTTAGTGTAATCAACGTTAACTATTGTTATGAATGTTTGTGTAAGAAACGTTAACCATTGGTGTGAATGTTTGTGTAGGAAACGTTAACTATTGTACTGAATGTTTGTGTAATCAACGTTAACTATTGTTGTGAATGTTTGTGGAGCCAACGTTAACTATTGTTATGAATGTTTGTGTAGGAAACGTTAACTATTGTTGTGAATGTTTGTGTAGTCAACGTTAACTATGGTTGTGAATGTTTGTGTAGCCAACGTTAACTATTGTTGTCGTCACGTGAGGTTGTCAGTATTAATGTTTATTACAGCTACAAGTTAAATGTTATCATTAATTGTTTCTGCACACAATACTTCAGTACCTAAGACGCACATCGGAACAGTATGGTACTGTTAAAAATAAGACGGGTGGAGGGGGGGGTAAGGGAGGGTTAAGAGGGCTGATGTGAGTGTACGTGTACGTGTTTCACCAAACATTATACATTTAAAATGGCTATAAAATTTGCAGATGCACATGCATTAATGGGATCTCTGGAAACAACGTTGAGGTCAATCGAGGAATTAATGAAGCAACCTAGTGAAAGAAGAAATGAAAATAGCATCCAGACAGACACAGATAACGTGGTGAGCAGACTTACAAACTATGTGATGGGCAACCTTTTTGAAAGAGCAAATGTGGTGAATCTCACAGATGGAAGAAATGAGGTGATCCTCAGTGGTGGCACCAATGTGGTGAGCCTCATTGGTGGCACTAATGAGGTGAGCCTCATTGGTGGCACTAATGAGGTGAGCCTCATTGGTGGCACTAATGAGTTTAGCCACATTCATGGAACAAACATGGTGAGCCACATTCCTGGAACAAACCTGGTGAGCCACACTCCTGGAGCAAATATGTTGAGCCTCACTCAGGGCAACATAAATGCAGGTTACGTCTTCAGTCCCTCACTAGATTTTTTGGTGTTAGCAGTTTTTTTGGCTTGCTTAATCGTGAAAATGTGTTTAACTGCACTCTTCGGATCTTTACCAAGATATTGAAACATCAGTGGACTTGTTATTAACAGAAGAAACCCAACTGCCACAACATGTCTAGCACGCTTGCCTGATATATACCTCGTTCTCTTGGTTGGTGTCACGTCCCATCTTCACGCTGTTACATGTACATTGTTATAGGTTTTACAACCTACTGGTGAAGTAATTGTAAACATACGTGAACATACTTTGCGCCAACTAACGAGAACGTATGGGCATGTCTTGATATAAGCATAAATAAAGACCAGAAATATATTTTGCTTTTTAAAAATTGTATATGTTTATTACATTTTTATTTTCTGATTTATAATTGTAAAGAAGTTGAGTTAATATTACGTTGAAAGTTGCTTAATATTGTAGCCTTCAGGGTAGTCTACTCAAACAGGGGAGAAACTACCATACCCCCAGACGCCGTAATGCATGCGGGGGAGAGGGCGGGCATGCCGTTTAGAAAATCAAAAATCTAACCAAAGACAACAAAATATTTTATTTTGCTCCTTGATGGACTAGTGGTTTTGTAAACAACAAACATTTACTACAACAGTGATTGTTCTACAGTAACTCGCACACACACACACTGTTGAAACGACAAAGAAACCAATGAACTGTAGCTTGAAAGATTGGCAAACGTTCACAATACTTCCATGACTTATTTCCCTTCTTTAAACAGTCTCATCGGCTTGTCCATAAAGCTCACTTAAATAGTTTTGTACTAATGAAATTAAAAGGCAATTTCTTCTTTTAATTGATATTAAAATTAAGCATACTAAAGATCAACATAGCTACAAAAAAAGAAAGAATTCAAAACTATTAATATCAATGCAAAAAGCATAAGAATAAAGCAAATATTGGAAACCATAACACTTTTCAAACCTCTATGTTTAATACTTGTCGCCGGCTTGCCAGACATGAAGTTACGCTTTTCACAATTTTGTCATTTTTTAACACGTTTTTATTAACTCAGCTTCGCGTGGATGTGTTTGTTGTTAAAATTGACATCGAAAATTAGCCCACTTCTGATTGCTCTATAGATCTGAAATTTGGCATGCAGGTTACTTTCGCCTAACAATTTCAGATGCAATCATAAAAACTAGCAATTAGAGACCGTAATTAGCTTAATTTAATTACGCCCAAAGGACCATAAAATTGAGGACATGATTTCTAAAGATACCGACAAGACTGGAGGCTTGTTGACACAGTTACTTCGGCCCCAATCGATGTGAGCGCGCTGGCCGTGATCGTATAGTGGTTAGTACTTCGCGTTGTGGCCGCGACAACCCAGGTTCGAATCCTGGTCGCTCAAGATTTTTTTAGTCCGTGTATTTATAAACACTTAGTCAATTCATACTTAATCAAGTCATTAGATAAAGTAGAAAATAAACTATATAAAAAACTTTTTTAAAAACCACGTTTTTCATGTGTAGCAACGGACTAAAAAGGAGAAAATAAAATACTTAAAAAAAACTTTTTAAAAAACCACGTTTTTCTTGTGGACTAAAAAGTAGAAAATAACTATTTACATACATTTGATGACAAAAAACGTGGGTCGGGCAGATGGGTCGGGAAATTTGATGGTGAACGTACCCACGTTTTTTGTCATCAAATGTATGTAAATAGTTATTTTCTACTTTTTAGTCCACAAGAAAAACGTGGTTTTTTAAAAAGTTTTTTTAAGTATTTTATTTGTGTTGGTTTCATCATCATCATACCTTTGTGGCCCCTGGGGAGAGAAGGGCTGCAATTACACTTTCCAGCGGACTCCGTTTTGAGCTGCTCCCTTAATCTTTGCCCATGTGAGCCCAGCTGTTTTCGCCTCTTGTGTTGGTTTAAAATATCAAAACCCATTTTTTGAAAAACGATCTTATCAAATAAGTTAGAACATAATTTTGGTGATTTGTTGATGTGTGACGATAAATATACTTTGCAATTAAATAGGCCCAATTAGTTAATTAGAAAATAATTTATATGATTAATTTAAAAATTAGTGAGTTAGTCGAATGTATACAATAACATGTATATTGGGGGTCAGAATTTTTTTTTGCTGAGTGGGGGGGGGGGTTACTTTTAGTACCGACACAGTACTCAACATGGCGTAGAGTTAGTCGTGTTAGAAGTGTTGTGGGACGGTTAGGTTGAACATCTTGACACCAATCGACACAAGTGAGGCTTATGACAGTTAAATGAAGGCGACCAGGTTTGACGAGATAGGTTCGATAATGGATGTTGACATGGATGAAAAATTTTTTTTTTTTTTTTAGTTTTTTTTTTTTTAGTTTTTACCATCAAAACGGCATTAAAAAACAAGGATGAAAATAATTCAGAAATTAATGTTAAAACGTTGGGAATCCTGAGAATTTGCATTTTTTTGTTTAAAGGCGTTATTTCTATTTATTTTTAACAAGATTAAATTCTAACTTTCTAACAGTTCGACTTTTGAAAGACAAACATTGATTGCCTGTACAGATTTGCCTACTCCTTGATCAATATTGTACTAGTCCCACATTATAGTTATTTCTTTACAAAACTTTGCCTATAAAATGTTTAAACAAAATTATCCCATTTTAAACCAATGACCTAACTCTGCCTATTTTGTTTATATTTTGTGTGATAACATTTAGGCTAGCCTATGGAATAGCAGGATATCTTTATTTTTTCTCCATTACCACGTAAAAACCAAATTGATTTTGCCTTTTTAATTTTGTTTTTATTGCAGAAAATACTATAGCATTAAATGCTTCAAATCTTTAGTAAAGTCCGGGAGGTTTTTATTATCTTATTTATTTATTACCAGATTTAACAACTTTGCTATACCCCGTTAAGGGACTATTTTCGGCCACACCATTATAGTGTAAAGAAATAAGTTAGTTTGCAAAGCCGCGTGTAAATTATTTTATTCGGATCTTGTGATAAATAAAACACATGTAAGTGTATTTAGAGTATGCTAACTTATATAACCGATTAAAACATGAATTAAAATAACACTCACTAATTGAACTTAAATTAGCAGAATATAAAAATAAACGGTAATTTTAAAAAAAAAAGTTAAAATAAGTTGTTTTTATTTAGTCACTTAAATAGTAAATAAATATGGAAAAAATAAGGTCATGTGTGTTAAAAAATTATAATTTTAAGTAAATATTTTTTGGTAAAGTTCTGTTTACTATATTCTACAAATTCATGTTTTAGGAAGATCGATCACAGTTTCTGTATAGACAATCAATTTTAGTTTTAATAAAGTAAAACTTCAGATAATTTTAGCTTGAAACATAATAGGAATTTAGCTTTAAAAGAAAATATGTTTAAGTTATTTACATTTGCAGCTTTTTCAATATTTATTGTAAAAGTATTCAATTTCTGATTTTTAACTTTTAAATGTGTTTAACATGTCAACAGCAATGATTGAATCTATCTCGTCAAACTTTGCCGCCTCCGTTGATGTTATGTCCTTACTGATTATATTTTTATTTGACGAGTATTTTAGCTACAAACTATATAAATCATTTATAAGAAACAATGTTTTATACAGATAAAACAATATAAATGGAAATTATAAATATATTTTTAGAACTTAAATAAAAGAGTTTTAACTTTTTAATCCATGGGCATTTACTTTTGAAAAAATTATATTTTCCATTTCGTCTGTAATTTTTGTCTGCGTGACTGTTTCTCTGTGAACACAATAAGTTAAGACCAGTTTCTGTTACTTTCACAAAATTTTAAATATAAGTATTTACCACATGTGTAGTTATATCGCTACTTTTTAGCTATTTCTGGTAACCGGATGTAATAGCCTACTTATTTTTGTTTAGGTTTTTTAAAAACCAATAACTTAATTTTTTTTAAAGTTAGATGAACACATAAAAGTATTATATTGTATACACATGTATCTTTCACATTTTTAACTATACCCGATAATTGGAAGTGGCACTTTACTTAATTGCCGCGTGAACACTATAACTTAAGTAGGACTACTGTTTTAGTTACGTAACAGAAATATCATATATTTTAGTATAACATCTTACACTTACATAACTTACACATTTTTATAACCTTTGTACATGGAAGTTGTACTTCATTTCCGGTTACTGAAATACCCATTACATGAGAACCGTTTCAGTTAGGTAAACCAAAAGTTATTCGTAAGTATAAAATCTTACTCTCTTTTTACTGTTATAATATTATTCGGTAAGATTGAACCTGTGAGGTAGCATATTTGCCACTGCAACTTGCCTAGAAGTATTATCGGTGTGATTAACAAACATGTTTTTATACTATAGTCAACACAGGGAACCAATACAGATTACACACTGAGGCAGGCTTTAATATGGTTGTTGAATAGACTGACAACCCGTTTAGAGAAGACAAGGATAATAGTCTATTTATTCTATGCTTCACCCAGCAGGTTTAAGTTTGAAGATCAAAACAATAACATGTAAACTTCGTCGTCCACTTTAGAGTCCAGATAGTGACGGTCGGTCGGTCGGTCGGTCGGTCGGTCGGTGGGTTGGTGGGTCGGTCGGTCGATGGGTTGGTGGGTTGGTGGGTGGGTGGGTCGGTGGGTCGTTGGGTCAGTGGGTCGGTGGGTTGGTCGGTCGGTCGGTCGGTGGGTCGGTCTGTCGGTCGGTCGGTCGGTCGGTCGGTCGGTTGGTGTTAGTCTGTCTGTGTCTATTTTTCTTTCTTTCTGTTCGTCTATCTTTCTATCAGTCATTTTCTCCGTCTGTCTGTCTGCTGACATTAGGTTTTTTTTTTATTTTACTGTTACGCTACTCTCGTCTTGATGCTGTCAAATATTAAACTTTACCCACATAGTCAAATGTACTAGATGTTATGAAATTAAAATGACTGTAAAAAGATGAGGCGTTAATAACTTCGCCAATCTCGCCAATCTCGCCAACGAACTTTAAAATTTAAGTGTAGGTCCGCCTACGGTTATTCAAAAGGTGTTGATGTGGTTTCACTTTTTTCATCCATTGCACAAAAAGGAATGCAGTAGGGCAGGACATGTTAAGCGTACCAGGCCCACTTTCCTATAAGGAACACAACGTTCGTTTTCCTCATTTAAAATTCAGATGAAAAGAAAGTGAAGTGGTATATAGAGCATAAAATGTAATGTTCGGTGAAAGGACATACAGAACATATACAACTATCTAGTTTTAAAGTACCTTGTTTAACATGTAAGTACTTTTGTTTTATCAAGCATGCTTTTTGCTTGTGTTATTTATAGTTTTCATTATAAAATCCGCGTTTTAAACAAATTGTTTATACGTAATGAGTACCGTTCCTGTGATATAATAATCAAGTCGCTAAAGAGTTAAAATGGTTAAATAAATGTTTAAAGTTTGAAATGTAATACATGTTAAGTTGTAAGTAACCGTTTATTATTAGATACATGACCCTTTAACCGTTACAGAAAACGATATCAGCAATTTACTTCCTGTTGTGTTAGCATTTCTGAGGAAGATAGGCCTACTTGGTGTGTTCAGTTGTTAACATTAATTTTCATTATTTAATTTTTAATTTATAGTTAATTTTTTTTAGTTTTATATGGATATGGGATGGCGTGTTCGGGTTGGAAAAGGTTATGGTTGCTAAACCGAAATGTATAGAGTTCGAACCATCGGGTAGCTGAGGCTCGAAAGATGAGGATAGAAACCCTTTTCGGAAAACACACATTTCAAACAACTGTAAATCCAAAAAGAAAAAAAAAGGTTGCCTCTATGGCGAATAAAAATTTGACACGTAATATTTTGTTTTGGAGGAAATTCCGTCCAACATTTAAGAAAAACAAAATGAAAAAGAAAAAAGTGCAATGATATTCATAGACATACTATTTTACTTCAGTTTAACACTATTTAGCTGATATTCAAAATTTCGTTTCAAAAAACAATTAGGATAACAACATGTCGTACCAAAGCAGTGAATCATCAAGGTATCCTGTTTTTTATCTGATTAGAGCATGCAACTCGTAGGTGTTGTCTTCTACAGGTGTATGTCTAAAATAAAATTTAAAAACAAAAGAACCATCAACTTTATGTTTTCGGATGTATCCGATTAGCTATATTTATTCATGTTCTTTAAAATCAGATTTACACATATTTTTTTTTAAATTTATTAACTGCCTTACTTGCTATTAAAAATTTGGTAAAAACCAGAGGCGTAGCGACCCATTTCGGCGCCCGGGGCGATATATCCTGGTATAGTAGTATAGTTATACTCGTTGGTAAAAAAGCGCCCCCCCCCCTTTGGAAATTGTTTGGGGGGGGGGTCTTTAATTAAATTTTCACAAGAGTGATGTAGATAACATTTTAATCAACCAGGAGAGCAAAGTAATAGTCCATTTCCTGAATTTTAAATAGGTTTTTTTTTTTATCCTACCCAGTTTGTCGTCCCAATTAGATCGGCGCCCGGGGCAGCCCCACCCGCCCTCCCATAGCTACTCCTCCGGTAACACATGTTTAATCAATTCCCGGACGAGCATGTTTAATAGGATGTTAAAAGTTAGATCAAACATCTGTATAGGTAGGCCTATAGCGTGACTATATAAATCCGGGATAAAAAAAAATGTCAGATCAAACAGCTCTATTGTTATACGTGGTTATAAGGTTGCGGGATGAAAACATTGGTCAGGTCAAATAGCTGTATCGGTATACGTGGCAATATGAATCTGGGATAAAAACATTTGTTGGATAAAACAGCTGTATTGGTATACGTGGCTATAAGATTGCGGGATAAAAACTTCTCCACTATATCCTGCAAGGTTAGTTGTCAAAAACAAAATGTTCGTAAGCCTTTTAAATTTTTTGAAAAAAAAAAGAGCGCTCAAATAAAAATATAACAGCTACTTCAAGTAAAATATATGACTAATGTTTTAGAATTGTTCGTGAGCAAAAAAAACTTGAGAGAGAGAGAGAAGTATCCGCTTCTCAAGAGGTTTAAGTGGTCTTGTGACAACGTTTTGATAGTCATTTATTTAAAGCCGACTGAAATAAACAACTGTAACTTACGTAGTTAACAAGACAAGGGTCATGTAACATGTTGTAAAAGTTGTCCAGCCCGGGGACAAACTTTCTATTTGCACCCCCCCCTCCCCTCAAACTTTTGATTTACATCCCCCCCCACTCAAACTTTAGATTTGCAACCCCCCCCCCCCCCTCAAACTTTAAATTTGTGTTTCCAACCCATTTTGGCGCCCCCTAAGGTCGGCGCTCGAGGACATGTCCCCCGCCCCCTTGCTACGCCTCTGTCCAGCTTCCTAAATGATTCACAGCTAGCATAAACTATCGCACCGTCTTAGCTCTAATGTTAGATGAACACGCCATTTTATGATACATTATAAAGACGGACACAACTACGGGATGAGGGGCCGAGCATAGCATCCAACTTCCCCCCCCCCCCCCCTTCAAGCCACACCTCCATCCTTAAAGTGTAGGATCAAATGTGTACTATTTTCGGATTGATAAAAAGAGGGAATTTAATTTTTCTTAATTTGTGATTGATTACATCGTTGAGAAAGTATTACACTTCTTTCTCTTTGCTAAATATATAACATAATGTTATGAATGTATATGACTCTCTCTCTTGCTGTTGATAGATTTACCACTTACCAACCACCGTTAAGACTAAAGGTAGAACCGCCTACGATTATGAACTGAACTGTTTATTTTAGCTTAAGTTAAAAAATGTGATGAATAATATTTTCACTTTATACTATCTATTTTCACAACACAACATCGGTAGAGCAGCACTTGTTGATCGTACTAGGCCCACTTTCTACGATAAACTCTACGTTCGTTTGTTTCCATATTTAGATTGTTATGTAGAGCATTTCAGTCGTGTATATAACGTATAAATAATATTTTCAACATACATTTTAACGGATGTGTACTTTTGAAACACACAGCATGTTTATTGATGCGAGAATTTGTTGATTAATTTGAAAAAAAGTGTTTTAACTATTTGTGTTTAAATTAATAAGTGATGGGAATACGGTTGCCATTTTCGATTTTTATAACCAAAATGCTTTCTTTATAGTAGATATAACACGTTGAATTGATCTTAAAATGTACTTTATGTTACAATTCAATCCTTCCAATATTATTAATTTCTTTTGTTTATGCTTTTGGGGAAAGTTAAGTCTGTTGTTAAATTATTTGAATGGTATGTCAAAAGTTGTGTGTTTATTTAACATTTAAAACTAATTTTAAAGTATTTATGTTCAGTTCAACTTCGGTTTATCATTCAAAACTCATGAAAACCAGTTGAATACGCATGCGCTAAAGCTATTAATCATCACGGACATATGTTTTAAGTGTTATTTAATCATGGAATATACGCATGCAAGGGTAAAGTGGGTAATTACTACCCTCTTAGAACAAAAATTACTTTTATAAACATTCAAGTTTGAAATTGTATGGTTTTTTTTTTACTTTGAAACAATATTTATATTTATATGTGTAATTATTAACAAGATAAGCACAGTAATTAAGACAAAAAAGTGACAAAATGATATTAATTACTGCATAGAGTTCCTAATTATATAACTGGTCACGCAAAAAAGTACTAAATGGTATAAATAAACTATTTTTAGATCTAAGTGTTTATTTCTACACAGCGATATGTCACTCTATAACCTTATTAGTATACTCTATGGAGTTGTCGAGTTATTTGTGATCTCCACTTGTTCAGATGTATGACACTGGTTTAGATTGTCCAACTCTACCTTATATAAAACGGATTTTCCATCGTATGTAAATAGACGGCACGGAGTTTCCGACTAATTTTTTATTAGAGCATCCGGTTTTGTCATGTCTTTTGCTTGTCCGACAGTCGAGCCAGTGAAATGTGTAACGATTAATTTAAGACAAAGTTTGTTTTAAGAAATAAATGGCCATTCATTATTACAGTTGCTTTACATTTTAAGACCATACTCAAGTACGTATTGAAGTAAGGTAGATAACAGATAACAAAGAGATATTTTATAATGATGTTTACATTAATAATTCATTAAATAAATAGAGGAGCAAACGGGAAGTGAAGTAAATGTTTCACTAGGTCTCGGACCGGAGTTGTCAAAAAGTAATTACTAAAGGTAAGATTTTTTGTTTTAATTTTCTTTAATTTTATCTAGAGTTTACTAAATTAAACTGAAATTATACCTGAAGTTGTTTTAAACATCTCTAATAGTTTAGAATAAAAATATATATTTGTATAAATGTAATTCTACACCGTCCACTAGTTTTCATGTTTGTTCACTTTCAGGTTACAATGGCCAGAGGAGTTAATATTGCTGTTGTAATTATCTGTGTTCAAATTCTGCATGTGTATTCAGGTAGGCCTACCACGTATATTTTCTTGTAAGGCAATTATTGAAGAATGATATGGTTTTAAAGTTTCGGTCGTCATGTACTCTTTTAACGTTTTGAGAATTGCTTGGTCTAACCTCTACCCCCCCCCCCCCCCCACCTCTCTCTTGGATACATGGTTTGATGAGAAAGTATCGTAAATAGCATGCCCAGAGGCAGTGGCGTAGCGAGGTCGGGTGTCACCCGGTTGGGCACTTAATGGTGTCACCCCCCCCCCCCCCAGAGGCTTAGTGACCCTTCCCGGGGACAAACTTTCAATTTTTTTATTTGAACCCCCCACCCCCCCCCCCCCTCAAACTTTCGATTTGCACCCCCCCCCCCCCTCAAACTTTCGATTTGCACCCCCCCTCAAGTTTTTCTCTATATATTTTGCTATTTTTTGCCTTGGTGTCACCCCCCTAAATGGTGTCACACGGTGCGTTCCGCACCCCCCCCCCCCGCCCCCCCCTCGCTACGCCCCTGCCCAGAGGTACTGTTTCAAAAGAAATTAATTTTATCAAAATAAAATATCACAATACGGAATAGTTTGTGTATGTAATGTGGCACGATGCGTGTGGCCTAATATTGAGTGGTAAACTTGCTGGTATGCACCGAAAATAAAAACAGAGTATTTATATGAACGAGCTGACCTGCAACTTAGCTTACGCCGCTATTTAGTTGATATATTTTTCAGTAATTCATAATTTGTGAATTCGACACTACCAATGACGCGACTGAAAATATTTGGCTTGAAAACACTATCAGTAGCTCGTGTAGGATGATTATCCTCCTACTTCCCACCCCCCCCCCCCCCCCCATGAAAGCAGCCGTCCGTGACGACAGTTTACAGACGATAATGGAAAGATCAATCAAGACTTGTTATTACCTCCCCTTAGTTTCAAATCGTTTAAAACTAAACTATCTACCCCTAATAGCCGTCATTAATTCGACCTGGCTCTACGATTGTAAACAGCCCAACAGACTGGTGGGGGTGGTGATGGTAGCGATATGGTCTGTTGAGCAGCCTGGAGAGCTAGGGAGGGGGAGAGTCGGCGTGCTTAGGTGGTGGTGTCCCGCGTGATCCCTCCATGAAGAGAATTGTAATTATAGTTATAACTTAATATTAGTAGCGTCATATGCGGGTAGGGGTAAGGGATGGTGAGGACAAAAAAGGTGGCACATTATTGGCGGGAGACACCAAGACGAATAATTTTAAAAATATTTTTTAAAAAAAAATCACAATCTTTTAAAAATAAAAACTAGTGTTGCATTGTTGTAATTATGCACAATACCATTTTACGCCATCTTGGATAATCTGAATTATCAAACCTAAACATTGTACATGGTCACTATACATTTGATGCTAGGTTCTGGTTTCTAAGTAACATTTTAAGCACAAACCAAAAACTTTTTGCGTTTTTGTGATTCTTAAGTATTATTTGTTGCAGTTTGTATTGGTGATAGTATTAATAGGCTACTTTTCTTTTCATATTTTGTTTGATATTTTTTATTGTAACTAGTGATCAGAGTATAAAATAAAAATATTAGTTTTTTGGGAAATTTGTTCCAAAAACATATTTTCGTTTAACATTACAAATGATACAATAGTGCACCCAATATGATAGGCTTTTTATTGTGATTGGTACTCAATAAATTAAAGAATTTTTACGAGGTTTGGAGATTAGTGGTAGGAAATGTCGAAAGAATTTACCATTCTTTTCTTTACTGTTAAAATAGATAAATACTGTTATAATTCCAAGATGGATAAAATGAAACGCAAAACTTTAAATGCTTTGCTAATTATATCTAACTATAAACCGTGCAAAATTTTTTATCGTTTTTTTTAACATTGACCTCATCACTTGTCGGCATCCTACTTATATTTACAGTTTTTGTTTAGTTTTACAATTTATCTCGTGTTTCCTAAGTCATCACAGTTTTTGACTAACAACAAAAAGAATTAATTCAACAGCCGTTTGCCACTGATTATCTGTTATTTTAAGTAACTACACAAAGACACGCTTTAGGTCAGAATAGTGTACTTCTCAGAACCAGTTACTTCTGCTTTATTTAATCCTTCTTTGATTGTAATACGTTCGATTTCATATTATGCACACTGTTACCTTAAATTCTGGCATGCATTCTAATTGAAGCATACCTGCCCAAAAAGAGCATGACACATGTTTCAATTGCAGTTTGGTTATTTCATTATATTGTTGTGAAATGTTTTTTGCTATGACCAAAGCCCGAAGTTGGCTGTTTCGCGAACAGATCGGCCAGCTTGCAAAGTGGCCAAAATGTCCGGCTAATGTCCAAATTTTAAGACCTATATACTTATATATCAACATAATATACGTACGCTATAAGTTTTGTATACTCTGAGTAGCTACATCGGTTTGCGCCTGACCTTTGACTCCATTTATATATATATATATATATATATATATATATATATATATATATATATATATATATATATATATATATATATATACATATATATATATATATGTATATATAAATATATATATATATATATATATATATATATATATATATATATATATATATATATATATATATAAATATATATATATAAATATATATATATATATATATATATATATATATATATATATATATATATATATATATATATATATATATATATATATATATATATATATATATATATATATATATATATATATATATATATATATATATATATATATATATATATATATATAGTTGTCTTATACGTATACTGATATTTTCATGTATCAAAGCATGTGAGGATGGATGGTTTGGCAAAGACTGTAAGCTCCAGTGCCACTGTACAAACAACGAGTGTACAGACGACGGTACCTGCAAGAATGAAAATAAATGTCTCGGTGAATGGTTTGGTCCTGCTTGTCAGTACCGTAAGTATATTATGTAGTTATCTGTAATGAAACATCAAAGTGTTAATAATTAAAAGCAAAAATAACGAAATATGATCCTTAAGTAATTATACAAATGCCGGTCTAACAACCATAAAATATCGAGTGTTAATTTTTTATAATTGGTTTTAGAAAAACAAAAATTTTGCTCATGGAATCGCTCTGCTATTATTATAGACATGGAGTATTCTAATATGCGCAAAACAAAATTAACCGGCTCATACCAAATTACTTGTGTCTTTCTGTTAGAATTCCTAAAAACATTGATATATGCTTCAGCTGAAATATGCTTTATGAATTTCCTGTACCTCTTGTATTTATTGGGATGATAATCAAGTATGAAACGATTTGTGCTGTACTCACATGACTCACTAGAAGTTGGATTGATGAGTGATATCAGATTAATGTCAAGTAATAATGATTCAATTTTAAACCTTATATTTGTGTTGTGCATTAATATAGGCAGACTACATGCTTTGTACATTCTCTTAATATCCTTAATTACATGATGTTAATGTAAAGTGGCATAAAATTTGAGTTAATTGGATGCTAATTTTTTAAAGAATTAAACGTTTTCCAATATAAAGTACTAATTGTATTGTGTTATCACACAACACTTGAGGCGTTTATTTAGTACAAAACTTATTAGGCATGTATTTTTATTCTATGAATATTTGTTTAAATATCTAAATATCAAAACCAAAATTAATAATACTCGTTTTAATAACATGCATTTATAACTTTTATTTTAATTTTATAAAAGATTATAAACGCTTTCTTCTATTGGTTTTTAACTTTAGGCACTTTTTACCATTATGACACATTTTTACCATTTAAATCTATTCTTTTTCAGCTCATATCCAACACACCAAATTAAATATAAATATGTAATTTTTTTTTATGTTTACAACGAAAAAAGTATTGTATCTGATAGACACCTTTCTTTAAAGACACATAAAGTATTATTGCCTTCTATGAACGTTTGTTAAAGTTAAGCCTATTTTTAAACATTTACCAAACTTCTAGTTGTAACGCGCTAAATAGAGCAACACATACATTAGTTAGTAATTGGAAGCATTTGTCATGCCTATTGCTGTGTCTCTTATTTAGGAATTTTCATTAAAGCCATAACATATTAATACCAACCCACAGGTGTGTAATAATACACTATTAAATGGAATTTGCATGACGGACAAAGCATTCGTTTTATATGTTTTAGAGAATCTTGCAACAGTTTATACAGCCACGCTGCGTCAATCACAAACTACTGCGTGTAATGCTGCAGTAGCTAATCAAAAAATTGAAGTCTCCTGGAACATTTCCTATCCCTTCACTTTTTTGTGGGTACAATTTAAACAAGCGAGTAAGTACTAAACAAAATTGATGTTATTCGATGAAGTCAAAGATAATGTGTCCAACTACTCCAGTATATTTTCACGCTTCTGTACCATTCTTATTATGGCACTTGTTTTTGATAACATAAATTTTAAAATTTTAAATGCATCCATTTTGGATGATGAAAGATTGTTTTTCTATTAGTTCGAAGTAACGATATATTTATAGGTAAGATAAACATGTTTTATCCATGGCATAAATTATAATGTAAACAGCTTTTACAATGACATAAGAAAGTTTAGAATAATTATAATGGAAAAAAATACTAAAATAATTAGGTTATGTGTTTTATCTACTTTAGAAAGTGTATATGGTCAAAACATTGAATAATGCAAATTTGTAATAAATTTGTAAAAAAAATTAGCACCATATATTATATAACACAATAGGGATAGGATGGTAGTTAAACACATTATGTTGTCATTTATGAGGTTTGGTTCTAGTAATGTTATGGCCTTTTCTAGTTTTATACGTTTAAAACAAATTAAATCGTGTTTTCGGAATTTGAAGTACCTGTCACTTAAAAACTTGAGCAGAATGTTTTGAATAACAATATCACACTTTGCTCTCGCGCATGTGCAAATGTAATAGCTATTTAATAAAATTTGTGTAGTTCATTGCTATTTATGGGACTAGCGATCCTGTCCCGCGCGTTTCTGCCATCTCAGAATAAGGAAAATTTAAAGATAACATTTAATTTACATTTTTATCGAAACGTATGAATACTTTTAAATTGAAAATATGATAACATTCGTTGAACCTTTGTATTTAAATACGTTTATCATTACTAATGGTGTATTTTGAGACTCCTTATCTCACTTTCTGATTGAATCGAGTATATTCACATTGCGTCATTCGGAAGGCGACAAAACTGTACTGAAGGGGTTCCTCGCATATAGTTATTTTTTAAAGTTTGACTTTGTTTTCTAGAAAAGCAATATTCTCTATAAATAATGTTGATGATATATTATTTTAGATCTGAGATGCCCTACGATTTTTTAAAATTGTTTTTGGTTGAAACCTAGCTATAATGTTCTCATTTTTTTAAACTGCAGTTTGTGTTTTTGTAATATACTTTTTTTATGGACAAAAAGAAACAAGTTAATATTGTTGGTAAAATAATCCAAGCTTCGTTAATTTCGCTGATTATTCAAAATTAAATATTCCTTGTGGCATTTGTAAGCCCTTTGGGGCTGCAATTGATTTTTTTTTATTTTAACAGAGACCCTCCCTGGATTTTTCTCATTAAACTTTCCAAAGTTTCATATTAATGCTCAAAAGATAAACAAACCGACATACGTATATATAAATTGACTCACTCACTCACTCACTCACTCACTCACTCACTCACTCACTCACTCACTCACTCACTCACTCACTCACTCACTCACTCACTCACTCACTCACTCACTCACTCACTCACTCACTCACTCACTCACTCACTCACTCACTCACTCACGCACTCACGCACTCACGCACTCACGCACGCACTCATTCACTCACTCACTCACTCACCCACTCACCCACTCACCCACTCACCCACTCACCCACTCACCAACTCACCCACTCACCCACTCACCCACTCACCCACTCACCCACTCACCCACTCACCCACTCACCCACTCACCCACTCACCCACTCACCCACTCACTCACTCACTCACTCACTCACTCACTCACTCACTCACTCACTCACTCACTCACTCACTCACTCACTCACTCACTCACTCACTCACTCACTCACTCACTCACTCACTCACTCACTCACTCACTCACTCACTCACTCACTCACTCACTCACTCACTCACTCACTCACTCACTCACTCACTCACTCACTCACTCACTCACTCACTCACTCACTCACTCACTCACTCACTCACTCACTCACTCACTCACTCACTCACTCACTCACTCACTCACTCACTCACTCACTCACTCACTCACTCACTCACTCACTCACTCACTCACTCACTCACTCACTCACTCACTCGCTAACTCGCTCGCTCACTCATTTATTCATTAATTTTTTCATTTATTTATTTGTTTCTTCTATCGGTTTAAAAAATGGACTATACGGAAATGTTATTTTATGTTGTACTGTATGATTCATTTCCAATTGTATAGTAACGTCTCGTTATATATAGTATTACTGAAAAAAACACACACATGAAAATTTAAAAATTCAAATTATTATTTTATTTAATCCTGTATGTACAATAACAGTTTGATCAATGACGTTTATAACCTGTTTTAGCAAATTATCTGACGTCAAACTTAAACATCAGCATCACGGACAAAAACTCTACGTGTGACTCCATTTACCAATCAGCTATCAGCCAGGACACGGTTGAGTTCAGATGTCGGACAACAGTAAATATGACACGTCTTGTTTTGTCAGGTGGAAATGTAAAGAATGTCTGCTCTATTTACGTCAGTGGAGGTAATTATAAGTTTAGCTAGGTTTTAGTGGAGTATAGTAAAATGTAATTTAGTAATATACTAATAAACTGTCTTCTCCAAATTTAAATAGATACAATTTATAATACCTAATAAAATATAGGGAGGAATGTTGCAGTTAAACAATCTGCTACACAAGACAGTACATTAACTGACTTTCCTGGACGTTCTGACGCTTCTCATGCTGTGGATGGTAATAGAGACAGTGATTGGAACAACGGTTTTTGTATGCATACCGCCAATCAGACATCAAAAGCAACACCTCATTACTGGACAGTTGATTTCACTGGTGAAACATACAGTGTCAACAGATATGTTTTATACAGTAGGTGGGATCTAAAAACGTATCGTGAGTATTGTTTATTTTTTAATACATTGTAATTCCCAAAAGTTTTAAAGCGTTAAATAAATAGAAAATTGAATTTGCAACATACTATATAATAATAGAACGTGGCGATTGATATCTATCTATTCGATTCAAACTAATTGTTTTTACATCAAAAAGTTGATATTTGGTTTAATTATTATACTACAATAATTAGGATTAAAATAGATTAATAAAATATATTGATTATACAAATGTTTTTACTAGAATCGCAATGTTTGCTGCTTTTCGGGTTGTCTATTTCAGTATCGCCGCACGGCAAACGTAGCGGAATTTAATTTCCTGCCCATTGACTAAAGCTGCATAAATATACAAATTGAAACTGTTCCCCAGAATTCACTGTAATTTGATTCCATATTTATATTGTATTAGCATACTGTTGTCCTGAAAGAATCAGTGGGTTTACACTAACAAGTTGGAACAACCAAAGTGACCAAGTGTTCACATACACGGCTCCTGCTGGGAAACATGCACTAATCCACACTGTTGTATCAGGATCACGTGATGTTGCTCGTGTCAACGTCACATTGGATGTAGACTATTTAAATTTTTGTGAGGCCGAGATTTATGGGGGTATGCAACTTACCTAAAGTTACACTAAAATAATACAAGTATTTCTAATTACAAAATGTATTGTTTCCATGTTTTTAAATTATGATTGTTAGGAATAAATTAGTTATACAAAATTAAAACATTCTCCAAAGAATAAGATACATGTATCTTTACAAGTTGTTTAATGTTGTTGATTGTATTTCTCCAGTCAACGTGTGCCCAAAGAACAAATACGGCCTAGACTGTACTAAAGAATGTAACTGTGTCAACAATGAACAATGTCACGTGGACACTGGTACCTGTCCATCTGGCTGTGCTCCAGGCTACACATTTGAAGGATGTCAGACAGGTGAGAAGAAACAAATATTTATACTCAATATTGTTTGTTAACATTAAAATCTTCTTGTAACTGTTTGATCTTATGTATGTTGTGCTCATTTGGTCCACCTAAATGTAGTCAAGTGTATTGCATGTAAAATTATATTTAAAAATGAAGCTTAGGATCATGGGGTGTTGGCTGCCGCACTAAAGTTTCCAAAACTTAATAATGTAAATGATTATTTTTATTTAAAGAAAGAAAATGTTTAGACACAATGTTAATTATCATCATTATAATTCCTCTTCATATTTTGTACTAATGTTTTAGTGTTCAGTAAAAATCATATATTAATTAAAGTGTATTGTACCTCACTATATTTCAGAGTGTAGTGCAGGTACGTGGGGTGATGACTGCCGAAACTCTTGTAGTGTAAACTGTCTCAACACAGGCAAGTGTAACCATACGGATGGCACTTGTGATGGAGGTTGTGTGGCAGGGTTTAAACCTCCGCTCTGTACTGAAGGTAAAAAAAATATAATGTACTCTTTATTTTTGTAAAGGTTGGGCGAAATATATATATACATATATATATATATATATATATATATATATATATATATATATATATATATATATATATATATATATATATATATATATATATATATGTATATATATATATATATATATATATATATATATATATATATATATATATATATATATATATATATATATATATACATATATAAAGGAATAAAACACTTGTAAAATGTGGTGTTTTTTTTAAGCGATGATTTTGAGTATTTTTATTTTAAACTAACTTTGCCATAAATCTTAAATAGAACAGAATTAGATCTCGTTACATTTTATATGTGTTAAGTGGGACTAGTGGCCCAAACGTCAAAACAATCTGGACTCTAGGATTAGATGTAGTACATAGCTAGAAATTCCACACCCAATTTGTTTGTAATTTTTAAAAAAATCTTGTATTAACACTATCACATTATCTTTTTTGCTGTATACTTACACACTATAGATTTATATGATGGTAGACGAATACAGAAATAATTCACACAACCAGAAACAGGAAATAATAAACTTTTATTATGAAAACAAGAAAGGTGTTGGTAGCCCACACTCACATTAAAAGTTAAAAAAAAATGTTCAGAAAATTCTGGAGACTAATTTGGAGCAGCCACTCTTTATTTCTGTAAGAAAAAAAAACACATTTAACCATGTAGAACATTTTCTACAGCCTTTATCATAGCCTTCTGATACATATGTTTTAAGCTGATAAATGCAAACAACTCTGAAATAAAAAAAAAATGCTAATAAGTTTAAGCTAATTGTTTAAGCTAATTACTACTTACTTTAAATCCATCATTGAAATTACAAGCCGAATATAAATACTTAAGCAAATTAAGTCCGAAATGTGGGAATTTCCATTGGTGATAGAGTTGCCTCAAATAAAAAGTCGTGGAACTACCCCAATAGCCCGACATCTACTATTATTAAATTTGCTTTACTTTTCTTAAAGAATGGCAGTATCGGATATCTTTAAAGCTGCTATTAGTAAAAAATGATTAAGCTAGGGTTAAATTCAATAATCAGTTAAAGGCATTTGAAAGAAGTATAAAGTACCATATTTGTAAAAGTGCATGGTTTATACTTTCATTTTTTCCACGATATATTTCAGGTTGTGTTAACGGAACGTGGGGCATTAACTGCTCTACTAACTGCAACAAAAACTGCGTTAATGTACACTGTATTTCAGTTAACGGCAGTTGCTCAAAAGGTTGTAATAAAGGATACAAAGGAGAACAATGTTTAACAGGCAATTATTATTTTGATTCTGTGAATATAAACGAGGTTATTTAACCTCTCAGAGCATAGGCCTAATGTATATTGTTTCTTATGTTATAACTACTTTTTATTACATAATGAAATTATTTTAAACATGCTTCTGTTAAGATGTGATATGGGGAGAAAGTAATTCTCAGATTTGAAACTTGAATAGCAAAATGTAATTGTGTACAATAAATGGAGCTTTGAATGTCGCTGTCTGGTAAATTTCAGTCTGTTTAGAGTTTGAATAGCAAATTATTATAAGTAATCATCATCATTTTGTCGTTTTAACTATATTAGCTTAAATTACATGAATTTGGACAAGAATTTTGTTAAGGTCTATGTCATAACAAATAGGTGAAAACCAAACAATACATCGTAAAGAATGTTTAGTAACATGCTGAATAGATAAATATAAACTCATCTAGATTTTAAATAAGATTTCATGTCGTGAGAGATTTACTGTAGTACCAGTTTGAAATATTGCTAAATTTTTTTGTTAATATAACATAAAGCATAGTAAAATGTGTAGAAATAAAGGATGCAAGTAAATATAATTACGATAAGGAATAGGACTATTTGAATTCGCTTTTCTGTTAATGAATCTTAGGTTGATTATCCTGTTATCAATATCAGCACGAGTAAGTTTCCCTTTCAAACCTGACGGTCTATGGGGCAAGTGAAGTAGAGTTCACTTGTTTCTGTGACCTCGGCATATGGAGAGATAGTGTGGTCAGCACTATGCCCAGCCGCCTTTACTTTCCCTAACGTGAGTTAGGTACCCATCAGAGTTGGGTGGATTTAGGGACAGTCTAATGACTTGAACCCGGATTCAAACTCGAGTCCAGCTTTCTACCCCTAAACCACTCAAGCTCATATCAGCGCGAGCTTATAGCATAATAATATAGGAAAGACGCACAACAATAATTCATTGATTATTGTCAAGTTATATATATATATATATATATATATATATATATATATATATATATATATATATATATATATATACTAGCGTACCCGCCCCCCGCGCGTTGCCGCGGGGATAGAAAAAAGTCTGACGAAATATATTAGAAGGATATCACCAATGCATTACCAATCATATGTTCTTAAACGCGTGTCCTTCTTTTCTAAAACTGTGAAATTTAAATGTAAACAATGCTTGCGCTTGGATAATAATTATCGGGACACGGGTTTTCCTACACTACCGCATGAAAACCTTGAGTGTATATTAATCACTCACCGAAATAATGAGGTAGAACACTCTTCGGTGACCACCCATGTGTGAGGGACGTAGAGGGGCGCTCTCAGGGCCCCCCCCCACCCCTGATTACACTACTGCATAGGCGCGGCGTACGACCCCTGGCTCCTTAAAACTAAAGTGACACAAATGAACAGGATTTTTTTCTTTAACACGTAAAAAAATTATTTGACGTATTTTAAATACCAGTGTGACCGATGCAATATGCTAGCGTTACTAATGGTCTATTATTAGATGCTCGATCTCAATTTCTGACTGGATTGTCTAATAATAGATGCTTATTGCATCATTCGCAAAGTGACGAAACTCTACAGTAGGCTCCTCATATTCAAAAGTTATTTTTTTCATCTTTCGCAAGGTGACGAAACTGTACAGAAGGATTTCCTCGCGTTACAAAGTTATTTTTAGAAGCCTGTTGTAGCTTTACCGCTGAATATAGTAGTACCCCTTACTCGCTGTGCAGGACGCTCGATTAACGGATGCCAAGTGCCAACATCGTCGCTCTAAAACTTTGGGCGCCAAAATGTGTATTGACGAAAATTGTACCCTACATAGCGCCGCCCATAACAAACTTTAGTCGTTTTTCTTTCGCAGAAATATTCTCGGGAGTATTTTCATCTACTCCTTAAAGTTTCATGGCACTCGGATGAACCGCATCCGAGTTTTATTTTTCATATACCGTGTATAGAGAAAAAAATCGCTCCCCCCCCCCCCCGGGGCGCCGCCCTTGCAATATTAAACAATATTTTTTTGCAGAACCCTACCCTTGAGTGATCTAATCATCTCCCCAAAGTTTCATGGTACACGGATGAACAGTGTGAAACCGAAATTTTATAAACCGTATATTGAGAAAAATCGCAGCCGCCCGTGGCGCCGCCCTTGCGAAATTAAAAAAAAAGGATTTCTTTACAGAACCCTTCCGTGAATTGTTCTAATCAACTCCCCCAAAGTCTCATGGCTATCGGATAACGGTGTCACACCAAAATCGACTTATTTTTATAAACCATATATAGAGAAAAATCGCACCCTCCCGTGGCGCCGCCCTTGCGAAATTAAAAATGATTGTTTACAGAACCCTTCCCTAGAGTTTTATAATGAACTCCCCAAAGTCTCATGCCTATCGGATAAACGGTGTCACTGCAATTCACTTTTATTATTTTTATATACCGTAAAGAGAGACAAAATCGGACCCTCCCGTGGCGCCGCCCTTGCGAAATTAAAAATTATTTTTGTACAGAACCCTTCCCTAGAGGGGTATAATGAACTCCTCAAAGTCTTATGGCTATCGGATAAACAGTGTGAAATTAAAATAGACTTTCATTTTTATATACCGTATATAGAGAAAAATCGGACCCTCCCGTGGCGCCGCCCTTGCGAAATTAAAAAATATTTTTTTACAGAACCCTTCCCTAGAGTGGTATAATGAACTCCCCAAAGTCTCATGGCTATCGGATGAACAATGCCAAACCAAAATCAACTTTTATTTTTATATACCGTATATAGAAAAAAACAAATCGCGCCCTGTCGGGGCGCCACCCCTGCGAATTTGAAATTTTTTTTTTCGCAGAAACCTCCCCAGGAATATTTTCAACAACTTCCCAAAGTTTCACGGCGATGTGATGAGAGGTGTAGTAATGCATAAAGGACACACAGACACACACACACACAGACATACATTGCTTTTTATATATATAGATATATATATATATATATAGATAGATATATAGATATATAGATATATAGATATATATAGATAAATAGATAGATAAATAGATAGATATATATATATATAGAGTATATATATATATAGAGAGAGAGAGAGTGGAGGTAGTGGTGGGAGAATATTTCCAGATGGATGTGGCGATGATTATAAACACGGGTTGTTTCTGGAAGCTTAGGATCATGGGGTATTGGCTGCCGCACTACTATTTCAAAAAAATATTAAAGTAAAGGATTTTTGTTATTTAAATAAACAAAATGTTTAAATGCATCGTTAGTTATAATCATTTAAATTTCCCTTCGTATATTTGAAATATGCTTTAGTGATCAGTTAAACATCATATATAAATTAAAATGTATCGTACCTCAATATATTTCAGAATGTAGTCCAGGTACATGGGGTGATGACTGCCGAAACTCTTGTAGTGTGAACTGTTTTAATAAAAACAACTGTAACCATATTGACGGCACGTGTGATGGAGGTTGTGTGACGGGGTTTAAACCTCCGCTCTGTACTGAAGGTTAAAAAAAAATTTGCTCTTATTTTTCTAAAAGTTGGGCCTTACGTATATATCATTAATGACTTAAACACTTGTAAAATGTTTTTTTTTTAAATTTGACGATTTTGAGAATTTTTTTAAAGCTAATTTTGGTACAAAGTTTAAATCGAACATCATCAGATTATTGTACATTTATGTATGTGTTAATTGGGACAAGTGGCCCAAATGTTAAAACAAGCTGGACTCTTGGGTTGGATGTAGTATATAGAGTGTCAAGGAAAAATTCCACACCCTAGTTTCTTGTAATTGTTAAAAATATTGTATTAACACTGCCAAATTATCTTATTTCATGTATACTTACACATTATATATTTTATGTTTGCTCTAAATATCAACAAAAATGAATTTGCTCATTTTTGATTTTGATGTATTGTATTTAGAAGAAAATAAAAGAAAATTATGTCTTTGTTTAACCACTTCTATAAATTTTGGATTATACTAGTATTACCTCTATAATTTAAAACTTACTTTTTTGTAAAATTACGCCTGTACATTTCAGAGAATCTGCTTTTGTTTTGTTACACATTCTTAAAAAAAATCTAAATTAAGTTCATAGGAGAATTACTCGAATACTAATTAGAGATTTTTCATTGAAATTTATTAATTTATTTTTAAACTTCCATTCTTCCTACGACATATTTTAGAATGTGACAAAGGCACGTGGGGCAGTAACTGTTCTGAAGCATGTAACAAGAGCTGTATTGAGGACGTGTGTAATTCAATTAACGGGAGTTGCTTGAAAGGTTGTAAAGAAGGATACAAGGGACTACAATGTTCAGAAAGTACGTATTACTTTTATTTAAAGCGAACAATGTATAGTACAAGCATTTTCTTCTCACGTGTTGGCATTCATGATTACTTTAAAGTATTTAGTGAATACATTTTATGTAATTAATACTTTTTAAACACCGTAGTGTAAACATGTGACATGGACACAATATGTGCTTGGAATTGCAGCTTGAATTGCAAAAACTAATTCGTAAAATTAAAAGATCTTCTTTTGTATTGTGTGTCAGCAAAACTACGTTGATATTTCATTCTGGTTTTAAGTGCTCATAGCAGATGCTCTGTACAATATGCCTCCAACTTAAAAAAAGAAAATTACTAAGTCATATTACCTATTGTAATACCACTCATAATGCAAGCTACTTATTCAGTAAGCTTGCTTAGTGACCTTAAGGGCAAAAACCAAGCAACCCTACCGATGGAAATTATTAGGAATTACAACGTAATTAATAAAAATTACATAGACCCATCTAGCTTTAAAAAGAGAACACAGTATTACACTTCATATCGTGAGACTGATGTATTTCCATGTTTGAAACCTTGAATATTCGATAATAATATGATAATTATGGTAAGTATAATAAAATGTGAAATATTTAATCTATGGTTAGATTAATATGTAAGCAATTTAAGCACGAGTAATTTTAGCTATGTTATAGGCTTATGATATATATACACACACACACACACATATATATATATATATATATATATATATATATATATATATATATATATATATATATATATATATATATATATATATTGTCGTTCTGATATGTTTAATTGATCATTGGATTTGTGTGTAATTTTAAAAACACTGTTAAGCTAGGATCATTGAACCGACAATACTAAGTAAATTTAAATATATTATTTGTATATATTCAGGAATCTTTTATTTTAGAATGTGATAGCGGAACTTGGGGAATGGAGTGTAAAAATAATTGCAGCGTAAACTGTTTGACACCGAATAGTTGCAGCCATATCAACGGAGATTGTATATTTGGATGTGCTAGAGGATACACTCTCGCAAACTGTTCACTAGGTTTGTAATTTTTCTAATCTGCGAGTTTTAATACTTCAGAATTTGATTTTGATGTAACACCTTAAAAACTTTAACTTCGAGTAATTATACGTTTTCATCGCTATTAATAACCCACATTGAATGAAAAGCAACTATCACCTGGTAACTGGGGTTCATGTGAAGACTTTCGTAAATGACCAAACACAATTTTTACTCCATCAGCACAAACAGCAAGTGTGACTGCGGACAATGATCTTATAATTATAGTGGCTGTTGTTGTCGCTGGTGTAGTTCTTGTAGCCGCTTGTATTGCTGGTGTGATCATATTGTACAGGTAGGTACACTTTTTAAAATCTGTATCTTATTTAAATTATATATGTTATTGCAATTACTTTAAAACAAAGTAATCTAGGCCTACCCAACACACTGTAGAGTAAAAATCCTACGTATTGTATAAATAATAGCTTTAATAATCTAGACTGTAGGCTTATAGTTTTTAATAAATAATAACACCTCTAACTATTGAAAAATAGTACAATTAAAACTGACGAGTAGGCCTAATTACATTTAACGTATTTGTAAAATTTGAAATTTGGAAATTGTTTTAGAGATTTAAATTTCCAATGAATGAGTTGATGTAGGCTACCAACTAAACAAAATAATATAATACATATTCACAAAACATTATCTTCTTGGTAATTTATTAGAAGGCGCGCCACACAAAGACCTAAGACAAGAGAAATTGATCTAGACAAAACAGAGGAGGATAACAGCTGTATGCCTTGCCTTGATAGCGATGAAAATGGTCTCTCAGCTTCTACTACAGGTATAGTAACTGTAGCATTGGAGCTAAATATTATAAGGGTGAATCATTATGTTTTGCTTAGCTTAGCATACGATGCATTAACATAGTGTGTTTTTGCTGTGTATCTTTGCATTAGTCTAAATAAAATCCTCGGCTGTTGTTAATTATAAAGAAAAACACACGACCTTTTTGCCGCTCCATTTACTCCCTTTCCATCTTCACAAAATGTCCGAACAATGTAATGTCACACTCAGCTACCGATTTTTTTTTAATTATTACTAATTGAGTTATTTCCCTTCTTAAAAGAAATAACAGTGTTAGGTTAGTTTTGAGCGAAATAATTAATTAAGTTGTTTCTCTTCAGAAATAAATTAAATATTTGTTAATGTGTATCGAGCTGTTTAAATATTTAGGAAACTGAACACTTAACTTTGTCTATTACATACTCTTTTAGAAAAATATCCCTACATGTGTCATGTTCTTTCTATACAGCTCTATATGAAGACAAGAATACGAAGCAAGTAGTTGATTCTAACAATGGATACTACAATACGGTTTCTATCCAAGAAGATACTTCCATTCCTGTTGAAGAACTTAATGCGTTTTTGAGCACTCGTGATAAACTATTCCTTGAACAACAGTTTAAGGTAAATATAATGTAAAAAAGCACATTTTGTACAACACTTTTCTAGTTAGGTTTTACGCTTTGATTGTCAGTAAAATTGTGTGTTCACCAGAATCTACCCGCTCCCAAAGATGTTTCAACAAGTGTTGGGTTAAGTGAGTTAAACAAACACAAGAACAGATTTAAGAACATTTGTGCATGTAAGATGTTTTTTATGCATAAATCTTTAATTTAAAATTATTAAACTCTTAGCTTTTAGTACAAATATGTTAGTAAATATAGAATAAAGAACTTATTTCATATTTAAACTTACTGAACGTAAATATATGGGTACGTGATCATTTCTCAGATGACCACTCTAGAGTCCATCTGGAAATAAACACAGATGAAAATGAAGGAGACTATATTAATGCTTGTTATGTTGAGGTATGCACTATTTAGAGTATTTTAAAACTATTCACATAAAGTGATAAAGCATTCGCTATTTGTATTATATTTTAAAAATTAATAATACCAAATTGTTATATCTGATTTTTTTAGGGATATAAAAATGAAGAGAGATTTATAGCATCCCAAGGTAATTCTTGAGAAATATATTAAAATTGTAGATTTCAAATATGAGTGGTGTGCTTATTGTTTACTTACTTATTCTATTCATTTATTCTCAGGCCCCAATCGTGTGATTTTAAACGACTTTATCAGAATGTTATGGGAACAAAAAGTTGATAAAGTTGTGATGCTGACTAATCTTTTTGAGGAAGGAAAAGTAAAATATGGTTGACTTGTGTTTAAAACCATAACATTTGTGTTTCAAACATCAAAACATTTTATAATTTACAAAATCAGAAATAATGTTTTAATATGATATTAGGCCTACATATTTTCTATATTAAAATTTTCATTTTTAAATACTTAAATGTTCACCAATCACTATAATAACTCATTGACTAAGTAATTAAATAATTTAATTTTGAAACAAGTATAAATGTTTCTAGCCGAAATGTGAGCAGTACTGGCCAGATGAAGACGAGGCTACATTTGGTCTGATCACAGTCAAACTGACAGTCACTGATGTGTTCGCTGACTACACCATCAGACAATTTATTCTAAGTAAAGTAAGTTAAAGAAACATACTGTAGAAACATAACCAATATTGTGTTAGAATCATGCAAACTATCCTCAGAAAAGTAATTCAGTTTACAGTATTTTTAAGGATACTTTTGTGCTATGATATATATTATTTACAAAAAGTACCTTATTTGTAATATTAATCAAATGGTTAAACAATGCAATATTACTTTATGTAGATTACCGAAATTAAATAATAAATCAGCATACTATATATACTATTAACTTACTTGGTAAAAAAATATCGTTACAATATATCAATATATTGCCAATTAAACTGAAAGAAATGGTAATTTATTATCAACTAGAACAGAGGAATAACATTATTACCCCAGTTTGAAATTTAAATAAAAAGTGGCGTATTTCACTATGTTCCATTTTAATTAGTGTAAAATATTATGTTTTGGTTCAATTAAACATTATTTATCCTCTCCACAGAAAGGCCACCCACCACACACAGTGAAACAATTCCATTTTACATCATGGCCTGACCAAGGTGTTCCATTAACTCCATGGGCTCTTGTAGATTTTGAGCAGAGAGTGGCATCACAGCCTACAGCCACACCAGTTGTTGTACATTGCAGGTAAATAAAATTAGAAAATTATTCAACATTTTAATAATATGTAACATGTATTCTGTTTTTTTAGACCAATGGGAACTAATACATATTTCAAACCAAAGTCAGCTTGATGGATTCGTAATTGTTCAATTCTTTACTAGTGCTGGTGTGGGACGTACTGGAACCTTCATAGCTCTACGTCACGTGATGAGAGAAGCTGAGGACACTGGACGCGTGGATTTCTTTAAAACTTTAATCAAACTCAGACAGGCCAGAGTCTTGATGATACAGACTGCTGTAAGTTGTGTTGGTAAAATTTTAATCAAACTCAGACAGTCCAGAGTCTTGATGATACAGACTGCTGTAAGTTGTGTCTTGTGTTGGTAAAACTTAAATCAAACTCAGACAGGCCAGAGTCTTGATGATACAGACTGCTGTAAGTTGTGTTGGTAAAATTTTAATCAAACTCAGACAGTCCAGAGTCTTGATGATACAGACTGCTGTAAGTTGTGTGTTGTGTTGGTAAAACTTTAATCAAACTCAGACAGGCCAGAGTCTTGATGATACAGACTGCTGTAAGTTGTGTTGGTAAAACTTTAATCAAACTCAGACAGGCCAGAGTCTTGATGATACAGGCTGCTGTAAGTTGTGTGTTGTGTTGGTAAAACGTTAATCAAACCCAGACAGGCTAGAGTCTCGATGATACAGACTGCTGTACGTTGTGTGTTGTGTTGGTAAAACTTTAATCAAACTCAGACAGGCCAGAGTCTTGATGATACAGACTGCTGTAAGTTGTGTTGGTAAAACTTTAATCAAACTTAGACAGGCCAGAGTCTTGATGATACAGACTGCTGTATGTTGTGTGTTGTGTTGGTAAAACTTTAATCAAACTCAGACAGACCAGAGTCTTGATGATACAGACTGCTGTAAGTTGTGTGTTGTGTTGGTAAAACTTTAATCAAACTCAGACAGGCCAGAGTCTTGATGATACAGACTGCTGTAAGTTGTGTTGGTAAAATTTTAATCAAACTCAGACAGTCCAGAGTCTTGATGATACAGACTGCTGTAAGTTGTGTGTTGTGTTGGTAAAACTTTAATCAAACTCAGACAGGCCAGAGTCTTGATGATACAGACTGCTGTAAGTTGTGTTGGTAAAACTTTAATCAAACTCAGACAGGCCAGAGTCTTGATGATACAGACTGCTGTAAGTTGTGTTGGTAAAACTTTAATCAAACTCAGACAGGCCAGAGTCTTGATGATACAGGCTGCTGTAAGTTGTGTGTTGTGTTGGTAAAACGTTAATCAAACCCAGACAGGCTAGAGTCTCGATGATACAGACTGCTGTACGTTGTGTGTTGTGTTGGTAAAACTTTAATCAAACTCAGACAGGCCAGAGTCTTGATGATACAGACTGCTGTAAGTTGTGTTGGTAAAACTTTAATCAAACTTAGACAGGCCAGAGTCTTGATGATACAGACTGCTGTATGTTGTGTGTTGTGTTGGTAAAACTTTAATCAAACACAGACAGGCCAGAGTCTTGATGATACAGACTGCTGTAAGTTGTGTTGGTAAAACTTTAATAAAACCCAGACAGGCCAGAGTCTTGATGATACAGACTGCTGTAAGTTGTGTGTTGTGTCGGTAAAACTTTAATCAAACTTAGACAGGCCAGAGTCTTGATGATGCAGAAAGGTTGTAAGTTATGCGTTGTGTTTGTAATGTTTTCAATGTTTTTCGATTTAATGTAATGTGTTGTTCATACATTTAAATTGTAACTCAAGATTTATAAGATTTATAATGTAAAAGCAAGCTGGTAATTCATAGCAAAATTATTTTACACTTTATAAATTTAAATTAGAATTAACATAATTATAAACACTAAAACGGAAAATATTATTTTAATATTATTAAACTTAAAATGCATCAAATGCTATTGTTTGTAGTAGAACAAAGCTGTGTTTTCTGGTCTAGAAATTTTTATTTTGTATTCAGGAACAGTACGAGTTTCTACATAAAGCAGCTTGTGTTGCCTTGGTGTGTATGAAAACAACTGTGGCGTCCAGTGACATTGAAGAAAGAATTAAATTTCTACACAAAAAAACAAAGTCTGGTCAAAGTCATTTGCAGAAAGAATTTGAGGTTGTTTATTTTTTTATTAATTTATAATATTTTTCTTCTGCTGTAACTAAAAGTAATTAGAGAAATCACCTTCAGCTTAGTTAGATATAAAAGTTCTGTGAAGATATATATTTTTAAAATTTTTCATTTTTTAAAATATTCTTTTATAACTAATAAATTAATCTTCCATTTCTTTTAACATCCAGGCAGTTTGCAGCTTGTGTCAAAATGTGGATGATGGTCACAAAGAATTTGATGTAGGTGATGTTTACCAGAACACAAGTACTGCAGTCAAACAACAGAAGGACAGAGATACAAAGATTTTACCACGTATGAAACAGCTATTAGGAGTGTAGTAGTTTAGAGGAAACATGCATTTTTTTTTATTTAACCCATCTAAAGAAAAATAAATTATAGGAACTTATTTTAAACATAGAATAAAATATTTCTCCACAGACAAAATGTACAGAGCACAGCTTGCTAAAGATACAGCTAATACAAGTGACTATATAAATGCTGTTCTAATTCCAGTATGAATTTTCAATTAATATTCTATCATATTTGATACTTTAAATTACGATTATGATATATGGAAAAGATAATTTTAGAACAGTCAGTTACGATTGTATCAAACATTGATTTTGCTAGACATTTATTCTAACGTGTTTAACACTGAAATGTAATTGATGTTTTCAGAGTTTCAGAAAAAATAGACATCAAATTTTAACACAGCTTCCCCTCCCTTCAACTGTGGTTGACTTTTATAGACTGGTAACTCAGTACAGAGTGTCACTGGCTGTGGCGTTTGATGGGGATGTTCAGTCACAAGATTATGTATGTGGTTATATGCATTTCATGTAGAATAACTTCATTTATTTGTGGTTATCTTCCTTTTATTTACTATCATTGAATTATCTATGTGGTATGTGTCTATGTATTTACTTTCACAAAGTTTAATGTGGGATAATATGACCATAAAAGATTATGTATCTTGCTTGTTGCCTATGGAAATTTTAATATATAAAATATTTAATTTATTAGATATATTTTTTTGTCTTTTGTAACAGACGATAGGGAATTACCTCCCTGTGAGTACAACCGAACCATTAACATGTGAACCTTTTGTGATTTCAACCAGTGAAATCAAGGGAGATAATATCCTGGAAGAGCAGAAACTGACCATCACTAGAACTTCACAGGTAGTTTTTTATTTATGCTGCAAATTCTTTTAAACACAAGAATACTTATTATCGTGACTTTTGTGTTCCCTTGTAATCTACAATTAATCATTTAAAGGTAAAATGTTTTTAGTGTTTAGTTTTCACTTTTGAGATTTCATCTCTTAGGTGTTTAAAATAGATACATTACATAATAGCCTTGATATATATATATATATATATATATATATATATATATATATATATATATATATATATATATATATATATATATATATATATATATGTATGTACATGTTTTTATTTAAATAAGTATTTATGTATGCTTTGTAAAGTTCATTAAGGTTGTAAAATAAAACATATTGTAATTTATATTGATGTTTCTTTTTAACAGAAAAAGGAGACCCACACAATGACTCATGTAAAAGCTGCTATAAAAAAACTGGATCCAAAAAAACTTTATCAAATTATTCAGAAAGTCAGGTCACAGGCATACAAGTTTAATGGGAGAATTCTGTTCATGTGCAGGTTGTTACATTTGTATGTTTTTTTAGCCTTCAGGTTAGCAGTACATTTAGTCATTTTTAGCTACTTAGGATAATTTACAAGAACACTAGAAGAAAGAATACAACTACTTGTTAAAAATTAGCTAATTACAGCTTGTGAGATGATTTACAACAACTGAAATAATGTTATGTTAACGTGTTTAGTGATGGAGCAGAATGGAGTGGTTTGGCAAGTGTTCTCACACTGTTGTTGGATAGAATGGACCACGACCAGCGTCTAACTGTTCCACTTGTTGTTGGTGCTATCAAGAGTGTACGGCCGGAAGTTATTTCATCATTGGTAAATATTTTTTGAAGTCTATTCATTTTTTCGAAAGTAATTTTTTAAAACTGTAAAATAAAATAAAAACGTATACTTTGTGTAAATATAAAATACATTAAGCAAATGCATCAGAAACAATTTAATACTATAAATATTACATTACTAAACACTTACTTGGAAATAAATAAATGTAAATAATGTTTAAATAATTCTTGAAATAATTCTATACTGTGATTTTTTTTTATTTTGGATAAAATAAATATGAATTATAGATTGATATAATATTATTCACGTTCCACAGAGTCAGTATGAAGTTTTGTATAAAGTGTTGGAGAGATACCATGAGGTGACATCTTCATACAACAATGTTGGTGACGTCAGGATTGTGCCAATTATTCAGACAAGTGAGAAGGGACCACATGAAGACTCTGTGTACGCCAACAATGATGTTACATCAGCTGTTTGAGCTATTGTTTTTATTGTTTATTATAAAATGACTTAATGAATGTTACTAACAAAATCTAAAGACATTATACACAGTTATTATAAATAGTAAAAATTATGAAACTGGTAAAGTCTATTACAGCCTTTATACATGTTAGGTTTTCATTCTGCTTAGGTTTGAAATAATAAGGTAAATATTTGTAAAATAGAAGCGTGTTTATCGCATATTCTAAAATTAAAGGAAAAATAAAATCTAGATATAAATCTATTTATTTATGCTACATGTTTGCAATGTAATAACAATTATTTAATAGTGTGCTCTGTTATATTGTAAAGGATGCTTTCAGGGCACATAACTCTGTACATTGTTGTAACTTTCCTTTTCATGTTTTTACATTTTTATTATTTTTAGGTATCATGTGCTATGGCATAGGCAGGGGTGTGTTGGGGGAGGGGAGGGAAGTTAATCCCAAACCCCAACTCCTACGATCAATCATGTAATAGTACACTTCTTGAATGAATCTACAACTATTAATTATGCCGAAGTCACAGAAATAAGTTAACTCTACTTCACTTGCCCAATAGACCGTCAGGTTTGAAAGGGAAACTTTTTATTAATGGCCGCTGGCTTGTGTTACTCTCAAAAATTAATTTTCAATATTTAGGGAGTCAGGAGATCAAGATTTTTTATTCTTTAAACTTATTTAAAAAGTTTCATTTTCCTTTATACTTTTAGAAATTGCATGTGTAATGTGTCTCTAATCAGTCTCTATTCCTTTATAAAGTGTACAGAGCAAAGACTTAGCACTACTTATGAATTTAATTCAAATGTAAATTTGTTTATCTGATTCCAAATGATCACAACATTCTTTATATTTAAAAATTAACATCGCCATGACATTTAATACGAAAATTTTACAATCCATTAAAATAATCCTAAATAATATACTATATATATTTTACTGTGAATTATTTTGTTTGAGATATTTAGTCTGAGATCATTTGTCCTGTCTGCACCCTCCCCCACCCACCGACCCCAACAAATTATCTATCACTTCGAGAATACCTAATATGCATGTGAAATTAAAGTGAAAACTCATGCATCAACAGAATGCGTGAGCATTTTGCTTAGTGTCTGAAATGGGCCGACATAGTACCAATTAAACAGAATTTCAAACTCTGCCTAGGCAACATAAAAAAGAATTAAGACTCTTCCTAGTCATCCTCTATAACGCAAAAAAAGCGGAACAGTCATAGTATAGAATAGGCTTATACCCTCCAGAATATCTCTTAATTTGAACTCTAACCACAATCCCCACCATAACCCTAATCATATCTATGTCACTATCCCCATCCCGAAGCCTATGCCTAAATTTTCCAAATAAAGTGGTACTTGGCATACCAGTGCCCCATCGCACGAATATTTTGAGATACGAGCAATCGTGCGAGCAATTTTCTCCTTTGCATTTCGAGCGCATGTTTCTGTGTTCACGGAAAGAAACACCAAGAAAAAGATGCAGCAGAACGTACATCGCAGCTCTATGATGACACTTAAAAGTTCCCTTTCTAACCTGACGGTCTATGGGGCAAGTGAAGTAGAGTTCACTTGTTTCTATGACCTCGGCATATGAAGAGATAGTGTGGTCAGCACTATGCCCAGCCGCCTTTATTTTGTCAGGGACGGTCTACTGACTTGAACTTACGGGTTAGCAGTCTAGCTCCCTACTGCTAGACCACCATAACAACACTTGTTTAACACATTTCTGCAACGCTCTGAATTGTGGGTTGCGGAAGGAACAAACATCATTCTTAGGTCTCGTTTTAAGCGGCAAGCACGAGAAACTGAGTAAAGTATGAAAGAAAAAAAGAAAGACAGTAAACAGAAAAGCAGTCACGAAAGTATAAAGTTCGATTTTAGTTCAACTATGTTCAGCATTAATGTTAGCATTAAGTTTTAGGATAAGGTGCAGCGTTGAGAGTGTAACGAGAGAATGGATTAAAGAAACTGAAAGAGTTGGTATTAACATTAGAGAGAGAAAGTGAAAGATGTAGCGCTCCTGCGGCTGACCACTTTACCCTACATATCAGCAAACATTTGCAATAAGCTCGGGTGATTGTAAATGGGTAGGGCCTATTCACTTTTTAAAACCACTTCATTTCTTTACATTCACTTTTATTATGATTTTATACTTAAAATTCTTATTATTATGATTGAATATAACATTTGCTTTTTTTTATGCATCCGTTTTATTAAAAACATGTAATAAAAACAACAGCATTGGCATTTTTTGTGTGTACAAGAGTATGTGTTGTGAAAGGTTTGACTTAAATAAAAGATGTTGATTTTATGACTCGGTGAGAAAGCATGTCGCGTTTTTGGTGTAGGATTGTTTTTACTGGGGAATAAGGTTAGGGCAGTCTGAGTCTTGTTGTGCAATGGTGTGGAACTCTTTGTCCCGTCGTTGTGAATGTAGTCGTTGTCCACGTCATTCTAGTTAATACAATGAGACTTGTGCGATATAAAATCAAATGAAAGAATGTGATCCTGTCAAGTTATTAGTCTAGCTTGATGACGTCGTAAAATAAGTCAGGACTCTAGTATACGTGTGATGAATTCATAGATAGTTAGAACAAAAATATTAGAGGACTAGCTCTCACGTCATAGCTGCTGGATATACACTGTCCTCAGTTATAACTGGGCTGAGACGGAATAATGCCTTTTTATATAATTTCAATAAAGACAAAAAAATTGCTTTGAGATCCGAAAAAATGTTACCAAGCAATTTAAAATTATATCTCCAGTTACCACAATATTTTGATTATGCTAAAAAAATTAAATTTATGAAGTATAAAAAATACAATAACAAACAATACACTTCCTCTTGTGTTAGTACTTCATAGTAAAGTGATCGTTTTTTTAAAAATCTCTACTTCTTGTTCATTCTTACTTATTGAATATTCGTATCCTAAAATGTCGCTTGATTTATATATTAAAGGCGATTTATATATCATACATGTAAAATACATTTATTTTTAGATTGACGTTATTTTTTAAACGTTTCTTTTACATGCTAATGAATAAGCCAGTGGTTCCCAAACTTTTACTAGCAAGGGAGTCGGAACAGGCCATAATTGCGAGGGCATACTGGTGAATTATGCAGTGTTTAGGAAACTAAATCTTTTCTGTTTTCTAAAAGCCCTATTTCGACCTAAATATAGATGGCGTACCATCCGTACGAACCCCCACAGCCGTTGTAACCCATTTTAATCATCCAATTTCAAAAAACGTATTTATTTTCTCCATTCTAGCTTCACAAAATAACAACTCTTCTTTGCTATCATCTGAATGAATATAGAAAATGACAAGCAACTGCGAACACGAACTCACGTCTGTTGATTTATCAACTTGAAAAGCAAACAATGGTGAAAGCTTGATTAAATTAAAAATTTGCTATTTAACATCTACGAACATGTCTGCTATAAGCCGCTGAATAGTATTATTAGGCTGAGATATTTGTTGCATCTTTACTGCACTGGAATCCCCAAAAAATTAACTTCACCATCTTCAACATGCAGTGTTTGATGAGATTTTCTCCTATTGTTTTGCTGTTGTTTTTTTTTTGTTGCTTTTTTTTGCTTAGCATTTTCTACAACGACTTCATTTGATGCTTGCACTAATGCTGTGTTTCATTGAACAAAACGTTGTGTTCAATCATGTTTCTGACGTTTGCAACTAACTTCAGGCGGACGAAAGAACTCCTTATCATGAAAGTAAGTATTAAACAGCAAAAATATGGGTAGAAAACAAGGTTAGTTGTCATGGAAACCAAAAAAAAACTCCGCCATTTTGAATTTTTTGTACTTTTAAAAATGCTATTTTATTTATGCACTTATAGCAATCAAATTTAAACTGCTTATATTTCAGTATATTAAAATTTTGTCACGAGAACTTTTTGAAATGGCTACTAGTAAGAATTTTTACAAGGTCTAAAATATAGAACACATTTTAGTATTCAAAAGTTGAAAAATGTGCATGTTATTCACCAAATACTTTTTTCCCATGAAAGCCATCACAATTCCCTCGTGACAAAAGTTGTATTTTTGCATGAAGAGTAATTACTAAAAAATATGGTGGACATTGATTAATAAATAAAAAAAAGTAGTAGGTTTTTAGTGTTAAACACGTGCGAAATGAGAAAACAGTCAAAAGTAACGAAAAAGAGTCACGAAAATACCATTTCTGTGTAAAATGCAAGGCCGATTGTAAGCTTTGTGTGTTTCCGAGATGATGGAAGATATCAAATACATCAGAAATCCAGATTTTCAACGATGCCAAATACAATATGCTAACTATGATTTATTATTTTTTAATGCTTGTTGGTGTGAAGGCATTGGATCGGGTGGAAGGGAGGAGGTTAGCGAAACACCTATACATAGTTCATGCATACACACACACATATATATATATATATAGGCCCTATAGTTTTATGGCGATCGGATGAGAGGTGTAGTACTGCATAAAAAAAGACAGACAGACGTACATTATATATATATATATATATATATATATATATATATATATATATATAAATTAAATACATATACTTCCTTTATAGCCACAACGTAATAAAATGAAGTATTGGATACGTAAATAGGAACAATATATCAAAACATTTCAACATGGCAGTTACAATTTTTAAAATGTATTTGTTTTAGAGAATCTTGCCATAACTTACACAGCCACATTCATTCGGAAATTAGTCGCATTTGGGAAATTGTCCATTTATATATTTCTCTCATTCAGGAAAACGTCCATTCGGGCATTCGTCGCATTCGGGCAAGTGTCCGTTCACGTAAACGGCCTTCGGTCAAACGGCATTTGGGCAATTGTCTTTCGGGAAAACGTCCGGCTCCTTACTGTAAATGTAGATCCTATACTGATACTAACCAGTTTTTAAAGGCAAACGTATTGGTAATTAAACACAAACGTTTTCAAATTTAATTAAGTGGATATGCGCCGTTTATTTCTATTTTTTACAATTTAAAATCCAAAGCCATTTTGAATACTATTACCATGTTAGGCAAATGAAAGTAAGTATTAAACAGCAAAAATGTGGGTAGAAAACAAGGTTAGTTGTCATGGAAACCAAAAAAAAAAACTCCGCCATTTTGAATTTTTTGTACTTTTAAAAATGCTATTTTATTTATGCACTTATAGCAATCAAATTTAAACTGCTTATATTTCAGTATATTAAAATTTTGTCACGAGAACTTTTTGAAATGGCTACTAGTAAGAATTTTTACAAGGTCTAAAATATAGAACACATTTTAGTATTCAAAAGTTGAAAAATGTGCATGTTATTCACCAAATACTTTTTTCCCATGAAAGCCATCACAATTCCCTCGTGACAAAAGTTGTATTTTTGCATGAAGAGTAATTACTAAAAAATATGGTGGACATTGATTAATAAATAAAAAAAGTAGTAGGTTTTTAGTGTTAAACACGTGCGAAATGAGAAAACAGTCAAAAGTAACGAAAAAGAGTCACGAAAATACCATTTCTGTGTAAACTGCAAGGCCGATTGTAAGCTTTGTGTGTTTCCGAGATGATGGAAGATATCAAATACATCAGAAATCCAGATTTCCAACGATGCCAAATACAATATGCTAACTATGATTTATTATTTTTTAATGCTTGTTGGTGTGAAGGCATTGGATCGGGTGGAAGGGAGGAGGTTAGCGAAACACCTATACATAGTTCATGCATACACACACATATATATATATATATATATATATATATAGGCCCTATAGTTTTATGGCGATCGGATGAGAGGTGTAGTACTGCATAAAAAAAGACAGACAGACGTACATTATATATATATATATATATATATATATATATATATATATATATATATATATATATATATATATATATAAATTAAATACATATACTTCCTTTATAGCCACAACGTAATAAAATGAAGTATTGGATACGTAAATAGGAACAATATATCAAAACATTTCAACATGGCAGTTACAATTTTTAAAATGTATTTGTTTTAGAGAATCTTGCAAAAACTCACACAGCCACATTGAAATTGAACGTTTCACGCCAAGACAAAACTACTGCATGTAATGCTGCAGGAGTTGACCAGAGAATTGAAGTCTCCTGGAATATTTCCTATCCTTTTACTTTTTTGTGGTTACAATTTATTCAAGCAAGTAAGCGCTCAATACATGTCTAATTAGCTAAAATCAAATACAAGCAAATTTACTTTGACTCTACGAAAGCAGTCTTATTGTGGGCCCTGGTCTTTTAGAGCATGTGTCATAAATCTTTAATACAGCCATGCATGAATTTGAAAAGTTTTACTGCACTGGTTCACAGCGAAAACATAATTGAAGGGCTCAGTGGAAAAAGTACTTAAGTGTATTTTGAGAGCTTTGAGAAAAATGAGTGCAAAGTTTTTAAATTGAAGCTGAAATACCAAAACAGCTGATGCAAAGTATTCGAATTAAGCTACTTCGGTACTTTTTCCATGGCCCAAATTTACAGGGATGGTTAAGGGTAGGTAATTTAATAATATACCGGTCTTAACTCATTTTTAAAAAAAAATTGTAACTTAAGTACTTTTTCCACTGAGCCCTTCAATTATAGGAATAACAAAAAAAACCTCTTAGCTTTAATTAAAAACTAAAGCGTGATTTATAGTGTAAACAGTTGCAACGACGAACGATGCTTTTGAATAGTTATAGAGACTTTTTTTTTATAAACGAAGGACATTTTATTAGTGCTATGTTGAGTTTTATGGGGTTTGGTTCTAGTGATGAGACGTTTTATATTTTTACTTTTAATTCGAGATTTTCAGAATTAAAATGTTTTTGTTTAAAAAAGTGTTGTTCGTTGTTGTATATTGGGTGGTCTCCTTCTTGGATTATGTAGTCTAGGACCTGCTGCTCTATGGAAATGTTATGTACTGTTGTACGGAGCAAGAACAAAAATAAAATGTGTAGTATTTGTCTAACATTTGCTGTCAGTGTATTATTTGTTAAAGAGCTTTTAACCGCTTAAAAACATGATTCAAAACTGTTATGAACATAAAAACAAAATCATTTTTAATGAAACAATTTTTCAGTCCTTATGCACAACGTATTTACCGTAACAGTTTGATCAATGCAATGTATAACTATTTTCAGCAAATTATCTGACGTCAAATCTAAACATCAACATCACTGACGGAACCTCTACGT